ATTGCTTTGACTAGAATGTTCCACAGTATGACATTAAACCTCCATATCAGCTTCCCTGGAGACAAGCAGGTGATACCGGAAGTCCAAGTTGAGGGTCAGATCTGTAGAAAGGTGAGCCCACTGCTGTGAGAATGCATGTTTTTCAAGGACTTCATTTCCTAGTGAGCCATAGTGTTAGAGACGTGTGGAGACACTTTTTAAAAAAAATATCCCATCCAGTCCTTGTATTTGCAGAGGTCGCTGGTGCTAGGCTAGTGCATGTCAATGGCCATAGTTAGCCTGCCACTAAAAACAGCCTTACCCACTCCACAAAACACCCGAAGCACAACTGTTATTATGTCTGACTGTACGACTGTTGATGTAAATGTCTACAATAATGTTTGAAATAAAACTAACTTTGCATCGCATGAATCGTCACATGTTGAGGGACTATTTTCTCATATATCAGTCCACAGCTGCCAAGCTTTCTATCAGGAAGTACAACGTGCTGCTGCTGCTCAGACATAAAACCTTCAAATGCAAGGTTGGTTTTACTTCTAAAATGATTCTATCAACACAGACATTTACATCGAGAGTCTGACATGCACGAGCCTAGCACCAGCGACCTCTGCAAATACAAGGACTGGATGGAATATTTTGAAAAAAAGTGTCTCCACATGTCTCCAACACTCTGGCTCACTAGGAAATGAGGTCCTATGTCCAAAATTCCAAACAGTCCCTTTAAAAACACTTGATCAATTTGTTTAATGTCACACCGTGGGATATTCTTCATGGAGACAAGCCGGTGGCGGACCCTCCACTAGAAAAGTTACACAGTGTGGCTTTAATGCTACAGTGTTATGTTACCTAACCATGCGTATGAGTCCAGTGCTACAGAAATGCTACTGTAGTCCTATAGTGAGGATCATGAGGTAAAGGCACCTGATTAACGCTGTGGCTGTGGTCAGTGCTAAAGAGAAGTATTCACAGTACTTCATTAAACCATAAGTCTGGACCATAGACATGCAATTACTGCTGAATTTCATATTAGAACTGGAATTTAACTAGAAAATATACTATGCCAAAGTGCTGTTAAACAAGTCCCTCAAGTCCCTGTCTGTGTTTGCCAAAGCGTGCACTGTGTCACCATGATTACTCCTGAACATTTGCCATTACACATAGAACACCCTGACTGTTTTGTCAAGATAACCTCATGAATTTGACTAAGGAGTGTGGTTTAACTCAGATCCATTGCATACTGTTGTTCTGTAATAAGGCTGTCAAACTATTCAATACTCCGATACTAGGGGTGTAGCGATATCCAAGTCTCACGATATGATATTTATTGTGATATTCTGTGGAGGCTACCAAACTGTTAACATGATACTTTTTTCTTCTTAAAAAGACTTAATCCAAAGAATCTAGATTTAAAAGTGTTTAGAACTGTTATTTCTTCATGTAATCTATGCTGAAACGGAGCAAAGGATCATGGTCTATGTAGTTCCCTCTGTCTTTTTTTAGTTATTGCTGCACCATAACTCTTAATTTAAGCAAAGAGACTTGTAATTCAATTTAATGTGATGGTCCACGATATTATTGTGAGAACTTTGACGATACGATATCATGGTATTTCGATTATTGTTACATCCCTATCCAATACTAATGGACACTCAAATTAGTATGGAAACTAGATATTGATATTTTATACTGAAGTACTGATTAAAAAGTTAAAAAGAGTATAAAATGTCACCTTTACTGAATAGTTTTAGAATGGACTTGATTTCAGAGCTCGTTGAAGACCACATGAAAAAATTACATTGTCTGTAAACAAGTACTTTTAAAGGTTCTATATTACGTAGTCTCGGTACGATATTATCACTATATGCATCTCACGGTACGATATTTATTGAGATATTTTGTAGAGGCTGATGTAATTGTAGATAGATGCTTTTAAAATACCTTGACAAGATTTTGGTGTGAATTATTACTGTCATAATCACAAGAATTCAAGTAAAAACATATTTCTTTATGTTGTCTGCACTGAAATGAATCATGGGATATGTAGTTACTGATGTTTAATAGCTATTGCTCAGTGTTGTGCAAGTTCACACTTTTCATGAACTAGTTCAAAGTTCAGTTCATTTTATATTTAGGTGAGATCTGTAAATGAAAGGCTGCATTTATTTTAGACTAAACCAGGTCTAAATCAGGACTGAACCAGGTCTAAACCAGAACTGAACCAGGACTAAAAAAGAACTGAACCAGGACTGAACCAGGTCTAAACCAGGAATAAACCAAGACTAAACCAGGACTGAACCAGAATTGAACCAGGTCTAAACCAGAACTGAACCAGGACTGAACCAGGTCTAAACCAGGAATAAACCAAGACTAAACCAGGACTGAACCAGAATTGAACCAGGTCTAAACCAGAACTGAACCAGGTCTAAACCAGGTCTAAACCAGGACTGAACCAGGACTAAACCAGAACTGAACCAGGACTAAACCAGGTCTAAACCAGAACTGAACAAGGACCAAACCAGGACTAATCCTGGACTAGAACTTGGAATCTAGGACCGCCCCTGAGAGAACCCCGAGTGCGATCGGGCGTCAGCTGCGTTTAGTTCGGTGGAGCGCGGACTTGTGCGTCGGTCCTTTCGCTCAGGATCACGGTCTACGCGGGCGTATCTCCAGCGTTTCACCGCTGCTGATATCGCGGTGATGTTAGCAAATTTGTATGAAGAAAAAAGAAAAACCCACCATTTCAATCCAGGTTAAAAAAGCATTGTGACGCGCGTTACTGACATATGTACCAAGTAAAATAACACGCGCGGAGCAGCACGTCCTGTGCGTGTAGATTTCAGAAAATAGGATCCATCCTATTTTTTGACGCTCTACACGAGCGTAGGCGCGTATCCCCGTCAAAATACACAGAGAGCATGGATCTATTGCTGTATTTGTGCATTTACCATCAGCACATTGTGCTCCCTGGGCAGTTGTGTATCATGTGAAAGAGCCCAGATCCACATACACTGTTAATTAGTGCTTTGAAATGTACTTTTGAAATCCTTGCATTTGCCGTGGTCAGCCTGTACAGAAGGTAAATACAAGCAGCTAAACGCGCCCAGTCAAGTTTGATTGACTTCACATTGAGAGACACAAGAGCCCGTACGTTCCGCTAAAGCTGCCGGTGGAGTCACCTTCGTGTTGACACGAGGCTGTGGTTTCGCGAGGTGAAGTGCGAGCAGATCGTCACTCGTCAAATTCCGACATTTAACTGAACCCCAACAGTGACGTACGTCGTTCATCACACATAATTTGAACAAATTCACGTTCAAGTTCTTGATTTACAAAAGTGTTGCGTTCAGTTCAAAGTTCACTGAAAAATGAACGTGTTCAATGAACGCGTTCTTTTGAACTCGTTCATGCACAACACTGCTATTGCTACTATAAAACAATGCATTTAGGCAAAGGATTTTGTAATTCGATATATTGTGACAGCTCACCGTATTATTGTGAGACTACTGACGATATGATATAGCGATATTTCGGTTATTGTTACATCCCTAATATTACGTGAAATGTAATATAAACGTATAAGGCTGTTACCTCATCAAAAAACTCAGAGTTGTGTTTTGTTTCATTCACACTTGCTTGAGTAACCCTTTATTATTAGTCTGTCTACAGTTTCAAAGCTCAAAATGTTCTGTTCCACCTTGTGTCCCAAAAGTTTTCGATGCTCTGCTCCGATAGTCTTCAAGTTAACAGCTACGTTTTACCTTTAGGTCAGTAGAGACTGGCAATTCCTGGTCTGAAATTATCCAAATGATTATAGTGAAGCCAAAGATGTTGATTTTGTCTTCTTATATACTTTAACTTCTTGGGTTCTTTTTAAAGACAATACAGTAAAGTGTATTTACCTTATTGACATGTTTCGGCTGCTAGCTGCAAGCCGTCTTCAGAACTGTCACCGGTGTTGGTGGTGTTGTGTCGGATATCAGCTGTTGTTACTTTCTGTAGGCGTGGTCAGCCTGATTGACCTGGCAGGTCGCTCAGACTGACCACGCCTCCTGTCGCCCGATGTTCTCTGGAGGAGGGTGTCCCAAGAGTGTGATCCAGCGTTTGAAGTTCAAACGCTGGATCAAGGAGGTCATTGAAATCAGGAAACGAGGCACAGACAGCATTAACCGCGATGACAGCGCGTTCCTCCTTTCACACACCTGGGACACCCTCCTCCAAAGAACACCGGGCGACAGGAAGCGTGGTCAGTCTGAGCGACCTGCCAGGTCCATCAGGCTGACCACGCCTACAGGAAGTAACAACAGCTGATATACAACACGTCACCACCAACACCGGTGACAGAAGTTGGCTTGCAGCTGGGTAAACACACTTTACTGTATTGTCTTTAAAAAGAACCCAAGAAGTTAGATTATAGTGAAGGTGTATAAAGTTTAAAAACACATTGGACCTGTATTACCACATGACATCACAAGGCGGAACAGAGTGTTTTCAGTTTGAGGGAAGTGAAGAAATTACAGAAAACACAACTCCAGGTACGTTTTGATGAGGAAATATTATAGCACAGATCAGAAAATAGCGTAATATGGACCCTTTCATGATCTCTGTGATACTGAAATTGGTATTGAACCTCAATCCCTTTCCATAGTACCAAAATGGAGCTTGAAATGTTAATATTATCACAACACAATTACGTAATTTGGCGAGACACTTCAATGCCCACTCACATCCCTGGATATATTAATAATGGATAGTTCATTTCAAAATAATACTTCAATAATACTTGGTCTATGGTCCAGACTAGTCTCTAAAATGTAAAAATACACTATTCGACATTAGATAATTCCCTGACATTTGAATATAGCATTATAATAGACACTTTCTTCTTCTTCTCCTCTTCTCCATGCCTACAGAGACTTTAGCCCGCAAATGTCTCTTAACAACAGTTCGTTTTTAACCCAGCACGATTCGTCCACCAGGTCTGCCCACAGGAAGTGCTTCTGCCTCTAGTCGTCCTCCTTGGAGCTCTCTGGCGCCAACTGTGGGTCGGGAACGAAGCAGTTTCTGAAGAAGTTGACGACTGAGGTCAGCATGTAGTGTCTGCTCTTCATTGAAGCGATGTCGTGGCCCTCATCTGGAAAAATCTGGGGTAAAAGGTAAAATGTGCACTCAGATTCTGTGTATAACTCTTTATTCCTCACAGTACATTAATAGTCTTTTAAATGTTTATGAGATTACAATGATAGTTCACAGCTGATGTCATCACAGTAGGCTCTGCTCTGTCTGAGGCTTCGTTAAGACTTAAATCTGAATTTTATTTGGACACAACCTGACCAGAAAGAACTGACTTAGCTGGAACTACAACAGCTGAGATTATTTGTGCTTTTAAATAAATCCCCGTCAGTAAAATTATAGTCACAAGCTACTTCTTTTTTTGTTGTTAATCAAACTCCTAAACAGGACATGAACACTAGAATTGATAACAGGCTCCTGAAAATGTATTGTTTGACTCTTCCAGACCTAAGGGCAATTTTAGTACATTTGGCCTCGTCTGAATTTTTTTTCTTAATTTTCTTAATTCTTTTCTTAGAGCCACCTCATTTCCAGGCATTTCCATGGTCTATATTACATTTGGATTTGTACATTTTGACTGAAATAAACCTTTCAAATAAAAATAGCAAGAGATGCACAATTACACAGACCAAGATGTGTAATTTGCCATTTATTTGAGAAATAATGGCACTTAGAGTGGCTTTTTCAATTGTTACAAACACCGGAGCTCAAAGCGTCAACCATTTTGACTCATTACACTCTTTGGCAAAGTTTGGGCCAATCAAAATGGATGGAGCACATGTGTTTGGCGAAAAACAAAGTTCCTATTGGACTCTCATTTTCCGTATGTGATGACGCAGTGCATGTGACGTAGGATAATGGTGGAGATATGCTCAGAAAGCCACAACTGTCAGCTTTTCGAGGAAAAAACAAGTACGTTTCTATCTTTTACAGTTGGAAAGTTATGTGCGGTTACGTAAAACATATTCCCAGTTATCATATATGATACCGTCAGTCTGGAAAAGTTAAATCCATTTTGTATTTTTCCTTGAGTTTTCAGAATCTTAAAACATATTTGGTTATGTTTGCTATTGTGTTTATTGTGTCTCCGTGGTAACTGATGAACAGTCAGCCAATACACCTACATGTAAAACACCCCCAGCGTGATGTCACTGCAAAGTATCAATGAAACATTTTTATTTCACAGTCTACTACGTACATAGTCCTAAAGTTTTTAGGTGGTCCCAAAACCATGCAAAAGAAGGATGGATACGTTTAAAACTGTAAAGTGGAACAGCAACCATTTTATTTATGATTTTTTTGAAAATCTGGCATAAAACCGTTAACCCCAATGTTGAAACAAAATACTCTAAATAAGCTTAATTGCTGTATCGAAAGCTGCATCGAAAGCTAGAACAATATAGTTTGAGGCTAAATATTTATTGTGTATGAAATTTCTTTGTAAAAGTGGGGAGATTTTGGCTAGTTTTGTTATACTATCATATAATTTGAGCTGTACAAGGTTCAATAAGTTACTTCTCTTGATAATTATTGGTTTATTCTGCTGTTTATCTGGTGCAGCTCAGGCCTTTTAATGAGACATCTATTTAAAAATACTTTCCTCTGATTATCCTGCTTTATTTTTATTGTGTCACTGACATAAAGTAGTTTCAGTATAATCGTTTAATAATTTTAAAATCGTGCTTCAAAATTTGTTATCGTGACAGGTCTTTTATGAAATTGTATCTTTGGGTTCAATTTCTTTCAGTCCGTGGACATCTGCCTGAAGATTTTTGAGCCTGATTCTGTCCTTTGTGTCTGACCTGTAGAGTGTAGTTCACGTTGAGAGAAGAGAGCAGCTTGACCAGTTCTGCTGAATGCTGAAAGTGAACAGTGGCTGCAAAAACACACACACAAAAAACACACAAAATGAAATGAAAATCTTCTAAAACAACTTCCTCTAAATACAGTTGTGGAAATAGAAGGAGGTATTGCTGGAACAAAAAAGACAGATGCAAGTCGAAAATTGAAAAAAGAAAAAAAACAAAAAAACAAACAGATCCTTGAAAATGTGATTTATTTTGACCACGCGACAGTAAGTTTAGAGGCCACTGCCGAATCAATACCCAGTCAAACCCCTCTGTGTGTGTGTGTGTGTGTGTGTGTGTGTGAAATAAAGCCTCTTCACTTCTCACTGTACAAATGATTTTTTTGTTGCAGTTCCTAATGTTATTCCTGTAGTATTATTATGTATTATTTGTATGTTTTTATCTTAAATTAGGGATGGGCATGATTAGTTGATTAATCGATAATTGATCATTAAGAATTTCTTTGATTATGTTCATTTTAATCGACAAACTGAATGTAGACTGCTGTGCGTAGCTTAGGGAGACCAAACAGGGGTCTGTACATGTGTCTCTCTGCACTCAGAAGGAGCGAGACACAAACAGTCGGTCAGTCTGCAGCGTACCGAAGCGCAAATGTGTATTTAACGATGACTTGTACAAGAAATTCCACGCTTTCCGTTCCGGTTAGGACAAGTGGGAGGCCATGTGCACAGTGTACAAAGCAGCACATATGTTTCGGTGTCCAGTGTTAAAAAGTTTTCCCAGGTGAGAGTCGCGCAATGTCGATGACGAGGCTCCACCTCCCACCCCCCGTACGCTGTCCTGGTTTTGACAAATGCAAATATGGTCACACTAACCTGTATTCCACTGATTCGTGTCGCATCAGCGCACAAGAGCTGTTTTTTTTTCTTCACTTAGTTTATGCAAATGAGCCATGTGGTTTTAAGTTTGGTTTCTGTGAGAGTTGTGCAAATCTGCATTAAACACATTATAATGTCAAACGGGCTGATGTGGCTCTAGAGTCGTTACGGTTTATATGTTGTAAAGTTGAATTTATTTATGCAGATTAGAAGTGCAGATAGTAATAATAATGATGATACATTTTTATATAAAAAACGTTAATGATTAATTGATAATCGATTGTTAATTCTCCCGACGATCGATTAAGAAAATTTTATGCCCATCCCTATCTTAAATGTATTCAAAGCATACGCTAATAGTCTTGTTACATTCATAAGTAAATTATTAAAGTATTTCCATATAAAATTCCTAAGATTTTCTTTCGCTTTATCCGTGGTATCCGGTTGCAGAGGCAGCAGTCCGGACTTCTTTCTCCACACACTGCTCTTTCTCTAGCTCTTCAGAGGATTTCCCAGGCCAGCTGAGAGACATGCCCGGGGCACCTCCCCTGGTATTCCTGATTTCTTTCACTCTTTGTTATTAAAATTGTCAAAAGTTGATGTATTTGGCACTTATTTGAAAAAGTATTCATACTAGGCCTATAACGATAATCAATAAATCAATTAAGCATACAATAAATTTTAACAAGCCCGATACCCGACTGAACCCATACCCGACCGAAACAACTAGTCTAGCCCCCAGGAGAGCCCAAAATCTGCTGAAATCCCACAAGACACTGACACAATGCAGTTAAAACAAACACTTCAAGACCACAGCAGCAGCTACAGAGAGAGGGGCCACAATATTCCAATGTAAGTCAATGACTAAGATAACTTTTAAGGGCAATTTTAAGATTTAATAATCCGTCTTATTTATTGTTTTGGTTGTGTTTGGTTCAACAATGGTTTATTCAAGTGCATTTTTGTTAACAGGTCCTTGCTCTAAACAAGGCTACATTAGGTTATTCTTATCTTAACAAGTCTGTTTTATTTCGGTCTATTGTTTTTGCTTGTCTTGCAGTTCCTGTGTTAAATGTTCTTTAGAAAATAAAGTTTATTCATCTTTAAAAGTCTGTATTTGCATTTTTATTCCATTGTCATTATATTAGCTGAAAATGGTCAAAATGTCAATATTATTATTTATCGCAATCATTTCTTGGTCAATAAATCGTCCAGCAAAATCTGTCAGGCCTAATTCATACATTTCTACTGTTCTTGAATAGTTTTGAGGTATATCAGAACTAGAGCGACATCACATATATAGCATTTTATAGCAGCTTTTTGCATTTTTTGTGTGTGACCACAGTACAATTTTGTTGCAATTCCCAATGTTATTCCTATAGTATTATTATGTATTATTGTATTTTTTGGTCTATAAAGTGCACTTAAAATCTTAAGGTGCACCTTATAATCCGGTGCACCTCATGTATTAATTCTGGTTGTGCTTACTGACCTCGAACCAATTTTATGTGGTACACAGCGTTCAAAAATCTGTCAGAATGTTTTAGTACGATCTTGGTAAGCTACAAAGCACACAAGGAGCGAACTGTTTTTTTCAGTGCTTATAGTTCATGCAAATTTGCCAAGTGGCTTTAAGTTTTGTGTCTGTAAAACGTAAATAAATGTGTGCACAGCTGCATTAAACAAATTATTACTCAATGTATATTTAGGCCCTCCTTGTAAGGAAAACAAAAAAAAATTAAAAAATTAAATGATCCACCCACATTCACATTCATAATACACATTCACCAAGACAGGGAGGCAACACCGGGCGAGTTACGCCACGATCTGCCAATGCATCGTGGACGCCTGGGCTAAGGGATCAGTATCAAATGTCGTCTGATAGTTTCGCTTAATGTGCCTTATAATCCAGTGTGCTTTATGTATGATAATAGATGAGAGAATTCAACATTATTGATATTGTGCAATTATAGTCCAAAAATACAGTATTTGTATTTAGTATTTTTGGTGAGAGTATTTTTTGGCATCTTTAACATTTTTTTGTGTGCCGCACTACAGTTTTGTTGCTTATTTAGTGAAAGGAAACTGGTTTACGGAATACTCTTGACATATTCACTGTTCCGGTGATTTAAATAGATGTACTTCATATCAATGAAGTACATCAAAAAAATTATTGTTGCTATTGTGCATTGTGTACATATTGTGCTTACATGTATGTGGTTCTTTAAAAACACCACCATATCACAGACTATCATGAGCAGTATATGCATTATCACGTGTATCATCATATTGTGATAATATTGTATCATGAACCATGTATTATGCATTATGTATCATACTGAATGGTGAGTGGCCTTGTGATTCGAAGCCCTAATATATACTACTAGTCTTTTGTGTTGAAAATATCATTCTGGTCTATAAAAGAAACGAGTGGTTTCTTATAAATGTGGTTTCAAAATGAGTTTGAAATTTGAGTATTGTGACACTGTTTGGAAAGATATTTTAAAAATATATAGACTAGTACGTACCATCAGCTGTGCCGTGAATGATCAGGAAGTTCACCGGGTTTTCTCTGGTAAAATTCTGAATTAAATTTGAAATCTGAAAAACAAAAATATGTCTTGGTGAATTTTTCTTTATTTTTAGTATTATTGTATTGCAATAATACTAAAATTTTAGTATTATTGAATTTTACAATCAAGTTTCTCATACGTGGCCAATATTGAGTTGGTTAAACATTCATAGAAGGAGTAAAATATTTATAAATATTTTTCTTTTACTTTAAACCTTACGTAATCTTTTTAATAATAAGTGTTAAAGAATCAGGTTAGCAGTATGTAACTTTCTGAAAAGTACAACAATAGAAAAGTTTTAGCGTGAAAATAAGGTTGAAACTTGAGCTAGTACTTTTTACCACTTAATTGCATCGACAGTATATATCTTTGTACTGCGAAACCTTGTGCCCACGTTCGTACTTGGTATTTGTGATCGTCATTCAGTAGAGGTCCAAAGTATTTCTCCGTGAAGGCTGAAGCTTTGTGTGGAAGAGCAGACACAAACACAATGAACACGGAATCAAGGAGGGAGTCATTTTTCTGAATAAATCCACTATTATAAGAGTTGAATGTCAGTGGGGATGAGTAGATGTAGGCTGAGGGATACATATAGGAAATGGGGGGCGTGTATTCAAACATAAATATAAAAGGTTGTGTTCATGAATTTTACAATGTAAAGGACCAATATCTCAATGAATCATCTATAAGGAAATGCCGAATATGAAAATCCATAATGTTTTTGTGAATAGTAAGATCCACAAATTAACTATAATAAAGGTACTATATTACACAAAATTGTCTCTTGTGAGCTTTAAGACATGTTGTAATGTTGTTACCTCCTCAAAAACATGCCTGGAGTTGTGTTTTGTTTCATTCACATCCATCCATTTTCTTCCGCTTATCTGGGGTCAGGTCGCGGGGGCAGCAGTCTAAGCAGGGACTCCCAGACTTCCCTCACCCCCGGACACTTTCTCCAGCTCCTCCAGGGGAACCTCAGTCATGAGACATAGTCCTTCCAGCGTGTCCTGGGTCTTCCCCGGGGCCTCCTCACGGTGGGACATGCCCAGAAAACCTCTGGAGGGAGGCGCCCAGGAGGCATCCGGAGCAGATGCCCGAGCCACCTTTGCTGGCTCCTCTCGACGTGGAGCAGCGGCTCTACTCCGAGCTCCTCCAGTGTGACTGGGCTCCTCACCCTATCTCTAAGGGAGCACCCAACCACCCTGCGGAGGAAACTCATTTCGACCGCTTGTATCCGCGATCTTGTCCTCTTGTCATTACCCAAAGCTCATGACCATAGATGAGGGTAGGAACGTAGATTGACCGGTAAATCCAGAGCTTTGCCTTTTGGCTCTCGATTTAGCGGTCTCACTTGTTTAAGTAATCCTGCATTATTAGACTGTCTACATCTCCAAAGCTCAAAATACTCTGTTCTACCTTGTGATGTCTTGAAGCAATAGTTTTCAAGTTAACAGTTACCTTTTACTGTCATTTAAGTGGAGACTGGCAAGTCCAGGGCTGGAATTATCCAAATGATTCTAGTGAAGGGGTATGGAGTTTAAAAACAAAGTGGAGCACTTACTGTATTCAGGATCAATAGGCAATAGAAGCACGTCTGTGTGAGATGTTAGTGCTGCTATTTTTATCTCCTAATTTCATTTTGTTTCATTTCATCTGACAGAGAAGACATTGGGCTTTGTGCTAGTTTTCATTCATTTGAATTAACCTGGTCAAAACATCTAATATAAAAGTTTCAAGGGCCCATTTTCTGATCTGCGATGTTGTTCCTCACCAAAAACATTTTAAACTTTGTAGACATAGTATGAGTAATAATAAAAGGATGTGTGAATGAAACAACACACAGCTCTACTTATGTATTTGACATAACATGACTTAAAAATCCTATATTATGCAAAATTGACACTTGTAAGATTTAAGTCCACATGAAGTTAATCTTAAATGTTTAGTTGCCCTCTGCTTCAATTTCCATGCTCTTTACAATGTTACAATTTCATATAAAAAAAAAAAAAGAAAAAGATGAATCAGATTTCTTTTCTTTGTACCATATAGTCTCCAGTTGGTGATGGGCGCCACAGCCACAGCACACTTGAAGATGTGACTGTGAGAGAGGAGCATGAGAGAGGAGAGAAAACCTCCGTATGCCTAAGAAAAACAGGAGGAGAGTATCGTTAAAAAAAGTATTACGAAACTATGGAAATACTTTTGGGATTATCAACAAGATTAAGAATAGAATACCTTTCCATACACCCCAACTCGGTTCCCGTCAATATAAGGCAGTCTGGTCAGGTATCTGTGCACATACACGAAACTGTAGTAACAAAAACTACCAAGAAATAATGATTTATGTCAGACGTTCTCAAACTTTTTACACCAAGTACCACCTAAGAAAACACGGAACCTTCAGAGTAATACCAGATTATTTAGATTATACTATAAATTAAGGTGTAAAACAGGGCTACACCACACTTTTACTCTGTGGCTTTTAACACCACATGCGTGAGTTGTGTGGTTTTCCATGTCTTTTATTTATTTTGCTTTTATTTGATTTTATACTGGTTTTATTGTTTTGGGACTGGTATAATCGAATTTTGAGCAATTTACCTTTTTGTTGTCTTTATTTTATGTTCTCTGTGCAACACTTTGGAAACTGCATTGTTTGTAAAATGTGCTCTAGAAATAAAGTGGATTTAGAGAGGAATTTGGATTTGGACACCAAATGCTATAGTAGCCTGATTCATCAGCCGATTTCACTTCGTGGAAACCGTCTGACCTCGCAGCATTAGAATTTGTTTGCTCAACGGTAGACGGGTACTTTTTTTACTTAACCAATCACTGCTATTTGGTCGTGACGTATGTAATGCTCCAAATCTTGTTGGAAGAAGGGCAATAACAGGCTTTAAATCCTCGATCTTGGGAATCGTTGCCAGCACAGAATGTATGGCGTCGTCTACATCCATCTTGACTGCTTTGTTTACTGTTGTGCTGTACCACAAAAGGGACCCAGACAGGCGCTTTAATGTGACGTCATGGTTTCACAGCTCTTCGCTGATTGGTCGGTTCGCAGTCTACAACTTCCAGGGTTCTTGCAAACCGTCTAGTGCAGGGGTGTCAAACTCTGAGAACTGGGACTAAGTTGCAGGCCAAACAAAATATTTATTGAAAAATTTTAACAACATCAGCACGTTTTCTTTTGAGATATGGCCCCCCTGCCTGAGTTTGACATGTCTGGACTAGTGTATTCAAATTCCTGAGCTAGTCGCTGGAGAGAAATGAATTTGAGCAGAGGCAATAGATCTAGGAGCGACCCAATAGAGGAAAAAAGTCTTTTAAATAGACTAAATTGAGGGATCTGTGTACCAACTGACAAGTAGTACCACAGTTGAGAAACACTGATTTAAACTGTAATCTGCAAAAACTAAAATCTTGCAAAGTTAAGACGACTTGGATTAAGAAAGTTTGATCAAGATTTGAGTAAAGTCACTTGACAACTGGACACATTGCACTCTCAAGAGAACAGGACTCCACTCACCCGCTACATGAACACCTACCACCTACAGGGTGCTCAAGTGCAGGAGGGCCCTCTTTGGCAGATCCCTGATCCCCTTGGTCATCACATTTTTGAACAACAGGCCCCGCTGAGTGCACTGTAATGTCGATTGTAATGTCTGTGTTTGTCGTGCTGTGTTGTTGCTGTGACAATCTCTGTGAAATAAATTTCCCCTTGGGGACAATAAAGTCTAAAATGATCTACCAATGGAACAAGACTTTTTGTAGTTACAATATAAAAATACATCTTTGCTACACTTAAGATAAGAAAAACAAAAACTCTTTGCAGTTAAAACAAGAAACTAAATCGATGTTACCTGATCATTTTTTGTTGAATCTACTCAAATAAAATCAAATGTTCTTGATTTTTGTCATTTCAACTTATTTAGATATTGATTTCTTTTTGCAGTGTGTTTTTGTTGTTGTTGTTGTTTTTTTTTTACATATATTAAAAGAGTACAGTGTATACTGACTGTACAGCGGTGATGTGGTCGTGCAGGTCCACAGTGCCCAGCCTGTGGTGCAGCTCATGGAGGAGTCTCTGTCCCTGGAATCCACTGCCCCGAGCGTCCAGACGAGCCACGATCACACTGTCAGAGCTGACCAGCACAGAGTCCCAGCCCAGAGAGAAGAGCTCACTCACCGCCTGACCACCGGGGGCGCTGTCACTGAACACAAGAAGGGGGGCAACAGAATGTAACAGCCTCACCACCCTACCGACTTGTGTGACTACTGCAAAGTGAAGCAATAGGTGTCACAAACCAGGAAGACACTTGAAAACAGGCATGGAGGAAGTACAGCTAGACAGTTTCATCTACATTTTCACTTATTTTCACATTCACTGTTTACTAGCACTTCTCTGTATATGTAGCAGTCTTTGTGCTATTCTAATCATTCTGAGAGGTTTTACAAGAGCCGTGCCCCGCCCCCTTTTTAGTCAAATAACTGATCTACAGGGGATGTCTTTAGTCAAATTGTCTTAAGTTAAAACTAACATGAAACAAAGTCAATACCACAGAATATAGAATCTTTTAATAACACTAAATGATACACTTTAAACTACCAATATCAACCACTATTGGTTGGCTGGTAGTATCGGCCAATATGGGCACTTGGAGACATATCGGCTATCAGCCTAAATCTTGCCGATATGGGCCGATAGTCCACGTGGGTATGTTATACTTTGTTATAAAGCTTAGACTGTCTATATTAGGTCCCTTTAATCCAATTTACAGACAGATAAATGTCCTAATATGTGGCACTGCATCAATATTTATCTGTGGAGTAATTTGTCTGTGTGTGATGTCGTCCTGCCCCTGAATGCACCCCCAGAGCCACGTCACTCAAGTGCGCTTGTTTACACATGCAGCTGCTGTCCACATGCTCGATTATATTATATTTACGGACAATCGTTTTGAGTCAGGACTGAAAGGACACTTATTAATGAAGACTTGTGATCTGTGAGGAGCCTGTGTGAGCAGTGAGGGTTGCAAATGCATCAGTTTTTGAAGCTACTTATGTTTTTTTCTCATTGGTTAGAGCTTAGCTGCTGCAAGATACACACATAAACAGCCTGTTTTTTACATTGTCTAGTGTAAAGTGACTATAGTGGCTGTATACATGTTACTGAACCTGCATTTATAAGTAAATGAGCTGTAAATAGACATGTGAATGATCTGCATTTACACATAAGTAACTGCTGTGACGCGCACGCATTTACTGCTAAAGGCTGTTAGCAGTAATTTACTTACTTTATTTACTGGCTAGAATGTCATGCAAAAATGCCATTAGGTCGACCTACTTTCTTTAAATATGACAGTAGAGAGTCAGAATAACAATAAGTGTCGTCTAAACAAACCAAATTTAAAATCCAGTAGAGCCAGACCTGTGTTTTATAATCAGTTTATATCTATATTTAATAAGATTTATAGTAATTTTTTACATTCACTATATATCGGCTTTTGTATGGGCTTATGGCATCTCCAACTCCTGTTTTATCAGTATTATATCAGCCACAAAAAAATCCATATTGGTCGGGCCTTACTTTAAACCTCAATACATGGACAATTCCCTACAGTAGAGTTATAACTGGACACACAATGCTGCTGGGATGGGGCAGGTTAAATGTACTTTAGACCTAAACTTGAGTTCTTACAGGATGAGGAGCAGTGGGTGCAGCTGTCCCTCGTCCAGATCTGCCGGGACAGACAGCTCCAGGCGCAATGCTGCAACAAAACATACACATGAATATAATACACACATGTTTATACAGGGCTGCACTGTAAACAAGAACTTATGATGTCTGGAATTGAAATTCATTTAACCTGATTCAAGTTGTATTCATTATTTCAAGCTAACTACATTTTCCAATGGTAGTCCAGAGCAAGAGCATCCATTCAGCCAAAAATGTGCTGGTGTCCCTCCTTATGCAATAAAAAAACTTTTATTATAATCTATCAGTGTGCCTCAGGTTTGTACCTTGTCCATTTTAACACTAAATAAGGTCCACATTTTGCTAAGATTTGAACTTAACCCTCAAAGAGCAAATCTACTTTTATAATTTATGACCCAATTAAAAGCTCTACCTCTCTTCTTAACCTTGATTTGAAGGATTTGTGAGGACTATTTATCATTTGAAAGATGTAATATTTTGAGTTGATTTGCTTAATTGCTAAGGTAATAGAGAACTGTTGCAATCCGTGTATCATTTGTTCATTCATTTTTCAAAATAAAACTAAAAATAAGAAAATGCAAAAAAATATATATATATATATATATATATATATATATATATATATATATATATATATATATATATATTTTTTTTTTTTTTTTTTTCTTTCCTCATTTTTTATGTCCAAAATCAAAATGAAAAACAGATAATGATTTGTTTTTTTCAGTTTTCGATTTTGTGTTTAAATGAATAATGGAAAAAAATGATAATGGCAGTTTCCCGTTAAACTGCGATGCCAGACTTTTGCGCCACATGTGGACTGAACCAGGACTGAAACAGGACTAAAACAGGACTAAAACAGGTCTAAATCAGGACTAAACCTATCTCAGTCCTGTCCTGGTCTGGTCCCGGTCTCAGTCCCGGTCTCAGTCCCGGTCTCAGTCCTGGTCTCACTCCTGGTCTCACTCCTGGTCTCAGTCCTGGTCTCAGTCCTGGTCTCAGTCCTGGTCTCAGTCCTGTCTCAGTCCTGGTCTCAGTCCTGGTCTGGTTCCAGTCTCAGTCCTGGACTGATCCCGGTCTGGTCCCGGTCTGGTCCCAGTCTGGTCCCGGTCTCAGTCCTAGTCTGGTCCCAGTCTCAGTCCAGGTCTGATCCCGGTCTCAGTCCTAGTCTCAGTCTGGTCTAGTCCTGGTCTCAGTCCTGGTCTCGGTCTCAGTCTCGGTCTGGTTTCGATCTGGTTCCATCTCAGTCCCGGTGTGATCGTGTCTCAGTCCCGGTCTCAGTCCTGGTCTCCAGTCTACATGGGCGCACCTCTGGGCCCATCCCGACACTCAGTCCTGGCTCAATCCTGGTTCAGTCCTGGTTCAGTCCGTATGCGGTGCAAAGTCCGGCATTGCAGTTTAAGTCAGGGAAATGGGAAACTTTTTTTTTTTTTTTTTTTTTTCCATTATTCATTTAAACACAAAATCAAAAACTGAAAAAAAAAAAAAAAAAATCGTTATCCGTTTTTGGTTTTGGAGATAAATAATGAAGAAAATTGTTGTTTTTTTTCATTTTCAAATTTTTTGTTTTATTTTGAAAAACAAAAGAACGAATGATACACAGATTTTTTGCCATAGTTTGAAACTCATTAATCAAACTAGCAGCTCTTATCTTAAATAATAAATGTCGATGTGATGAAGATCTATTTTGATTTTGATTTTTTTCAGTCAGTGACAAGAAACACGCTATATCTTTTTCCCATAGAGATCACACAGAGAATAGTGACAGCTCCACAGGCACCGCTAGTGCTCGTGGGTAATTTTCACTGTGAGGGGAGTGAGAAAGGACTGCGCCTTAAGTGTAACTGGTGTGAACTCAAAGTCTCAAGTGAGATTAGAAACAGGCTCGTCTATAGGACCAGATGGGGGATCAGAGGGATATTACACTCACAGGGGTAGTGAGGTTTCAAAGGTAGTCGTCTCGAGGTCTTTCAAATTGAGATGTTTGGGTTGTCGTCCAGGAGTCCGTTTCAATCTGAAGGAACAGCTCTGAGAATCTTTTATTTATGTTTAAACTGCTCTGTCTTCGTTAATCTAATGGTCCAGTTTTGGGTCGTAAAGCAAAGGTGCATTATGGAACCTCCCAGGAGCTTCAGGATGAATCACAATTGAATCAAAATTGGAATTTGAATGGACGCAATTAGGCTGCAATTTTTGAAGCAAACAAAATATCCTGTCTACTTCTGCATAAAAAAAAAGAAAAAAGAAAAAAGAAAACAGGTAATCATGTTCAGATCTGTACAAATGTGTTTTTAAATTTGATTCTTGGATTACTTTGTTCATATTAGTCTTTTTGTCAATTCTCTTTGAACAGAATCATAAAATTAAAACAAATGACAACACTAATATTGTAATCAAAATGCTTGTCAAAAAAATTGCACTTAGATATTTTCCCAAAGCGTTCATCCCTAGTACCTGCAAACTGAAAATTACTTCTGTTGAAAGCTTTTCTACTTTTGGAAGGATGAGAGACTACACCAACTACATACATACTGTATTTGTCGGACTATAAGTCGTACTTTTTTTCATGGATTGGGTAGTCCTGTGACTTATACTCCGGTGCGACTTATATTAAAATTTTCACACTGACAGCTGTGAAAGGCCAGTATACTATTACTCTTGCACCACTGTCATTTGGTTCTACTGCGCATGTCTCCTGCAGAAAGAGCTGCTGTCCTGTCTGTATCATATCAGTCGATCGCACCATTACTTCTGTACACAAATGCCCCCAGAAAGAAAATCATATTTTGCGGATTACAAGCTGCAAGTAGCAAAATATGCAACCGAAAACAGTAGTCGAGCATCAGAAAAAAAGTTTGGAGTGAGTTAGAAACTTGTGACAACCAGGAGGGTGAACCATGCAACTTTCCTGGAAGCCATTGGTTGGCTCAACAAAGCCTGGACTTCAGTGACACTGAAACCATCCTGTCGGGATTCAGAAAGGCCGGAATAATTCTAACTGGAACTGATGCTGAGTCTGACGACAGCTACACAGAAGAGGAAGCGGCGCCCTGTTTACCTCTGGAGGTCATGGAGTTGCTCAGAAGTGACACAGAGGATGAAGAATTCAATGGATTTAGTGATTTGGAGTGAGATGGAGAGTTTGGTAAACTTGTTCTGTTCTGTTGTTTATGTTATAGTTTATCTGAAGAACTGTTCATATGTGACGCTGTTGTTTTCTGTTCTATTGTTATTACTAGAACTTGCCTTTCAAGATGAAATGTCGGTTCCTGGTCTCTGATTTTATAAAATAAATTTCTCCAAAAAAGTGTCCTTGTCTGTTTTTTAAATGGACCATGAGTCCGGAATAAAGATGATGATGATGATGATGTAACTTATAATCCAGTGTGACTCATATATGTTTTTTTCTTCATCATTATGCATTATTTGTCGCGTGCGGCCGGGGCGACTTATAGTGCGAAAAATACGATACACAGTTCCTTTACGTCTCAGGTTTTCCTTTTCCTGAGCTGTTATCAACTATAAAACTAATATAACTTCTAACAATGCAAGACTGAAGTGTATTTGTTGTCTACAAAGGAGAAAATATATGTATACCATTATTATTGATGGGTATTATCCTCCTCTCCCATCTGGGTATGGTCCTGTTAACAAGGAAGTGTCTCAGCTCAGCTCCATTGTCCACCGTCTTCACCTCTGAAAAGACAAAGAGAATAATTATAAAACACTTAAGACTCAACACCACATGAAACTCAATAAAAGACTTCGACAAACTTTACTGATCCACAAGGGAAATTACACAGAATTACACAGTCGCTCACACATTACAATAGAAGAACAAAGAGCAAGAAATAGACAGTAATCAAATCCAAGATAATGAAAGCAACAAAGATAGCAAAAGAGTGCGGAATACAAATGTACAGATGTGTATATGTACAAGACAATATGTTAAAGATACACAATGTCATTTTGTGGTTGGAGGTTACTTGTTTCTATGGATATGTCATTGCTCTGCCTGGAATGTCTCCCACAGTATGACATTAAGCAGATCTACATTACACTTATTCAATTGCATGTGGTTTTGTAGCTCAAAAATACATAAAAACAGGTCATCTGACTGTGAGCGGGGGCGCCTCTCCACAGATCTGACCTGTCACTTGGTCTGGTTTGATCTCCATGAAGATAGAAAGGTTTAATGCCATACTGTGAAACATTCCAGACAAAGCAATAACATTTCCACGGACCCTCCACCAGAAAGGTTACAAATAAAACAGTTTAAAAGTAGTATAGTAGTAGTAGTAGTAGTAGTAGTAGTATAGTATAAAATATCACTACCCTATATGCAAATCCAAATCGCCAAAGTGCTGCACAGAGATCATAAAATGAAGACAACAAAAAGCTAAATTGGTAAAATTTGGTTATACCAGTCCTAAAACAACAAAACCAGTAAAATCAAATGAAAGCAAAACTGTAAAAATCATAAAATTGCAGTAAATGGTAAAATAAATAAAGTAAATAAAATAAATAAAAGACATCGAGGACCACACAACTCACGCGGTGTTAAAAGTCAGGGAATAAAAGACGAGACTTAAAACACTCCACTGTGGGGGCTGTTCAGATGTGTGTGTGTGTGTGTGTGTGTGTGTGGTTTTAAGTCTCGTTTTAGGCACCATGAGCTGGCCCTCGGACCTCAGAGAGTAAATTTGGATGAGGTCCAAGACGTACTGTGAGGCCAGTTCATTCAAAGTGTTAAAAACAAACAATAAAATCTTAAAATCAAGTCTAAAACTAACTGGAAACCTGTGCAAAGACACTAAAATCGGAGTAATGTGCTCACGTTTTTTGGTTCCAATTAAAAGATGAGCAGCAGAATTTTGGACCAACTATAAGCGAGAAAGTGCATGGAGGCCGATGCCAGAGAAAAGTGCTTTACAGTCGTCTAAACAAGAGGAGATAAAAGCATGCTTGACCTGCTTGAATGATTTAAAAGATAAAAAAGGTTTAATTTTAGATAAAAGCAGCAAATGATAAAAGCCGGATTTTACAACCGTGTTTATTTGTTGTATACACAAGCGATGGGAAAGGAAAATACACTACACAGTTGAAAATTACACTTTCATTTATCGGTAACACTCATTCTTTTATTGAAAGTATTTCAGGCTTGGTATTTCAGTCTGGTAAGCTGATTTAAAGAGGTTTTGGTGCTGTCTTCAAGAAACATCGTCACTGGACTGAGGAAATATGCTCATGGGACTTTAAACCGGGACGAGGGGGCCTTTTTACTGTCACACACCTGCTATACTGTCTTGAAGAAAACGGACTACAAACCTGTTTAAAGGGATAGTTTGGAATTTTGGACATAGGACACCACTTTTGGAGACCTCATTTTGTAGTTTGCCAGAGTGTTGGAGACGTGTGGAGACACTTTTTTAAAATATTCCATCTGACCCCTGTATTTGCAGAGGTCGCTGGTGCTAGGCTAGTGCATGTCAATGGCCATAGTTAACCTGCCACTAAAAACAGTCTTACCCACTCCATAAAACACCCGAAGCAAATCTATTATTACACCAGACTGTCCATGTGAATGTCTGTGTTGACAGAATAATGTTTGAAATAAAACTAACCTTGCATCGCATCAATCGTCGCATGTTGAGGGACTATTTTCTCATATATCAGTCCACCACTGCCAGGTTTTCTATAAGGAAGGACAACTCGCTGCTGCTGCTCAGACGTAAATCCCTCAGATGCAAGGTTGGTTTTACTTCTAAAATTATTCTATTGACACAGACATTCACATCGACAGTCTGGCGTTATAATTGTTTTGTTTCGGGTGTTTTGTGGAATGGGTAAGACTGTTTTTAGTGACAGGCTAACTATGGCCATTGACATGCACTAGCCTAGCACTAGTGACCTCTACAAATAAAAGGACTGGATGGAATATTTTAAAAAGTGTCTCCACATGTCTCCAACACTCTGGTTCACTAGGAAATGAGGTTATGTCCAAAATTCTGAACTGTCCTTTTAAATCAGCTGACCAAACACAGCGGGAGACAATGAAAACTAAACCTTGGTCAGGAAATTCATTTATTAAAATTACATTATAACATGGTAGAAAGCTCAAAAAAGTATCAGGATCATAGTATGAATAGTGCCCCTCTAGAATCTGCTGGAGTGGGTGAGCAGGGGTGTCCATAATGGAGAGCAGTTTGTTCAGTTGTCATACACTCTATCTAGCTTATTATTATACAGCGATAATTCATTCTGACTTCCCAATGCTGCAGCTTGGCCTCGTCCTGATAAACATTCACTTTAGCCAAGAATACTGTCCCTCTAAATGAGTTAATCCACTTTGTGTTTACTGTCCATACTGGAAATGGTCCCATAACAGAACAGAAATATGACTGGATTAGGGGTGAAAATGTAAATACACTTACTGCTCATGTTGCTCAGTTTGTGGAGAGTGGTTTGAGGAATCCCAGGTCCTAAAAAGACAATTCAGTTAGCCAATAAAATACATAATTGCAAATAAACAGATACTTATGCAAATTAAACTTTCAATAAAGTACTTCATGCTTTAAATGCCTGCTCAAAATGCACTGTTTCTCTTTGGCATTTGTCCAGAGCTAGGAGGAGACACCTTGGCACCTTGCTGTTATGATATATATATATTTTAATTATTATAATAACTGTTTGTTTTGCTTACTGTATGTTTTTATTCCATTGTAAATATTATTCAACTGTTTGGCTTTTAAATGTACTATATAAACAGTGGTGTAGTGGGGATTTAGTGGAGGTATGTGGTTTATGACATCATTGGGCGGCAGTAGCTCAGTGGGCAGAGCATTTTTTGCCCACTGATCTGAAGGTTGACGGTTCGATTCCAGCTCTTGACATAAACATTACAGGTTGAGCGGTCAGATCCACTGACCCACAGGTTGGCTGGTGTGATTCCAGCTCCCTCAGATGAATGCTGTCGTTGTGTCCTTGGGCAAGACACTTAACCCACCTTGCCCACAGTGTCTGCGTACACTGGTGTGTGAATGTGTGCCGAATAGGTGAGTGGTTCCTTGTTGTAAAGCGCTTTGAGTGCCTTGAAGGTGGAAAAGCGTTTTAGAAAAATGTGACCATTTACCATTTACCATTGATGTGACCCCCCGTCTCTTTAAAATGATGCAGAATCATGTTATTAACATTAACGCCGTTCATAATCACCTACAGAACATAAATCATAGACTGCAACACATGAACCAGGACTGAACCAGGACCAAAACAGGACTGAACCAGGACCAAAACAGGACTGAACCAGGACTAAAACAGGACTAAACCAGGACTGAACCAGGACTAACCCAGGACTAATCTTGAACTTCAGAGAGAGAGGGAGAATCCTGAGCCCGCGGAGCAGAGTGTCGGCAAAGCGTGATCGGCGATGGCTGGGCTTAGCTCCGTGGGACGTAGAGCTGTGTGCCGGCTCTTTCTCCTGCAGTTACCCGACACTCACACCTCCGGGCTCGTCCTGACACTCAGTCCTGGTTCATTTCTGGTTTGGAACTGGTGTAGACCTGGTTCAGTCCTGGTCCCTCATGTGGCAGGTTACTATAGGACCGTACTGCAGATATCATTAGCCTCTGAAGTTGTAGCTATTATATATGTATTATTTTTTATATTTTTTAGAAGTGGGTGGATGGCATACCCCCATGTACCACGGCCACTGCACCCCTGTATACAAATACATTTGATTTGATTTGATTTTGGGACACTGTAGTATTTGTTTTATTGCAGTGCATAGATTCAGACCCTATTTGTCTGAGTGTACACAAAGCCACAACTGCAAGTAGAGGGCGCAAAGACCTGCTTCTCTGCAGCTGCACAGAGGGGTGAAGCATTTTAAACAAGACTAAGAACAATAGCTGATAGCAACCCAGTTGTACAATAAAGCAATAAGGTGTATGGCCAAAGTTAGTGACAAAATGTCTTCACTATACAAAACTTTGTTCACTTGACAGACTTCAGACACCCTTTTATGTCCTGGAATTAAAGTTATGGCAAATTTATTCTGAAATGTTGTAGGTATAGGAGTTATGATTTGAAGGGCCTCTCTCTCTCCTGATAGTGCGGGGTTTTTTGAACTTGCTCTGTGTATTATCTTGTAGCTTGTGGCCTTGTAATATTCTAAAAGACAGTGAACTATGGCATTGGATGGGTCCTGTTTGAAGTATGAGTAAAGTAGTAGAAGTAGTGTGTGTATTACCTGTGCAGTGCAGTAGGACATGTTGATAGTCTGGACTCAGGAGCACACTGAAGAAGGAGCAGTGAGGTTTGAACAGAGAGCAGCTCACACACTCTCTGCTCAACGGATCCACAGTGGACACTCTGAAAAACACACAAGGATTTGAATATGAACTCTTTCTACTACTACTACTACTACTACTACTACTACTACTACTACTACTACTACTACTACTACTACTACTACTACTACTACTACTACTACTACTTACTACTACTACTACTACTACTACTACTACTACTACTACTACTACTACTACTACTACTACTACTACTACTACTACTACTACTACTACTACTACTACTACTACTACTACTACTACTACTACTACTACTACTACTACTACTACTACTACTACTACTACTACTACTACTACTACTACTACTACTACTACTACTACTACTACTACTACTACTACTACTACTACTACTACTACTACTACTACTACTACTACTACTACTACTACTACTACTACTACTACTACTACTACTACTACTACTACTACTACTACTACTACTACTACTACTACTACTACTACTACTACTACTACTACTACTACTACTACTACTACTACTACTACTACTACTACTACTACTACTACTACTACTACTACTACTACTACTACTACTACTACTACTACTACTACTACTACTACTACTACTACTACTACTACTACTACTACTACTACTACTACTACTACTACTACTACTACTACTACTACTACTACTACTACTACTACTACTACTACTACTACTACTACTACTACTACTACTACTACTACTACTACTACTACTACTACTACTACTACTACTACTACTACTACTACTACTACTACTAGTCCTACTTGTACCCATTACTAGTCTACTACTACTACTCTACTACTAGTACTACTACTACTACTACTACTACTACTACTACTACTACTACTACTACTACTACTACTACTACTACTACTACTACTACTACTACTACTACTACTACTACTACTACTACTACTACTACTACTACTACTACTACTACTACTACTACTACTACTACTACTACTACTACTACTACTACTACTACTACTACTACTACTACTACTACTACTACTACTACTACTACTACTACTACTACTACTACTACTACTACTACTACTACTACTACTACTACTACTACTACTACTACTACTACTACTACTACTACTACTACTACTACTACTACTACTACTACTACTACTACTACTACTACTACAACTAATCATACTACTAGTAGTCCTACTGGTACTACAACTAGTCTTACTACTACTACTACTCCTACTAGTCCTCCTCCTCCTACTACTACTAGTTCTCCTACTAGGCTTACTACTACTACTACTACTACTACTACTAGTCCTACTACTACTACTAGTTCTGCTACAAGTCCTATAATACTACTACTCCTACTACTACTAGTCCTACTACTTTTACTGCTAGTCCTACTAGTCCCATTACTAGTCCTACTACTACTACTACTCCTACTAGTCCTCCTCCTCCTACTACTACTACTACTACTACTACTACTACTACTAGTCCTACTACTACTACTACTATTACTAATACTAATACTACTAAGATTTATTCTGCTTCTTCCACCAATAGTACTCTGTTTACTACTATTACTAGCCATACTAGTACACTAAGATCCACTTTATTGTCCCCATAAGGGAATTTGATCCATGGTTCAGAAGTGCTGGAGCGACCTGTCAGGAATAGTGGGGATGTTTTGGGTTGAAGGGGGAACAGTGAGGCCCAGATGAAACCCACCCAGACACGAGCAGACACAAGCACACTGGCTTTACCTGTACAACTGTCTCTGCAAGGCTCCATTTTCAGTGCTCAGATAATACCTAGGAAACAAACACATTCTGCTGTTACAATTACAAATATGGAAATGTTGATATATCATAGTGGGAGGTTCTACATTTATATCTATGGAAGAAAGTTCAGCTGTTACCATCATGACACAATACACACCCCCACCAGAAAAGTTACATAGAGCATCATTAATTATTACATATTAAATCAAACTTACAGCACATTCGAGTTCTCATCATAAGCCACAATGTCCGTGACCTCCCAGCTTCCAGAGGTTAGATGCCGAATGTTGACGTCTTCTCCTTCTGACTATAAAAAAAAAAAAAAAAAAGTAACAAAAAAAGCACGATAACTATGAAATAAAGACATTTCTGCGGTGATTTTTGCTTTACAGTTTGCCATAATGCAGGGGTTGTAGTCTTAGTGTGGTTTAATGCCCCTTAATGTATTCTTAATTACCTTCTCCACTGTAGCAGGGAGCAGACTTATAGACCATCATTTTAGGAGATAAGAGTTTGCAGTTAACTTTATGAGTGAACAAAAGTGCAGATGGGGACACAAAGGAGATAATGCAAGAATTGATATAATAAGGTTAACATCTTGGTAAAAAAAAACAAAAAAACTAAAAAAAAAAACTAAAAACTAAAAAACAATAAATACTATCTTTGGAATAAATGAAAACAGTAAATTAATTTGAGTGTTTTGATAAAAGCCAAATAATGTAAATGACAAAGACTTCAGAGCAGAACCAAAACTGCAGAGTGTCAGTATTAGAAGTGCTTTAGACATGGTTTAGTCCTGGTTTAGACCTGATTGTGTGCTTGTTTAGACTTGGTTTTGTCTATTAGACTTGTTTGAGTCCTTCTTAAGACCTTGTTAAGTCCTGATTTACATCTGGTTTAGTGCAGCTCCTGTGTGATGTTCCTGTCCTGCAGTGTTTTAGGTGGTTTAGACTTGATTAGGGCTGCTCGATTATGGAAAAAAATATTTTTATTACGATTATTTTAGTCAATTTTGAAATCACGATTATTCAAACAATTATTTTTGAGTTACACTTTGAATTTATTCAGCATTTTCTCCCAATAAAAACATTTTGTTATTGATAATTTAAGCAAAACTTTCAAATTGAAAATAAATATAGGCTACAAACATATGCCTTAGAGCAGTTTTGCGATGTATAAAACATAAAATGAATAAAATATATTTTGAACATGAAATAAGGCAGAGAAAAACCTAAATGTATCCAGAATAAACTATATATCCAACTGTTCAACAATCTCTATATTTAAAATAAAGTAAATATACTTATTTATAGAAGAAATATCCCAAAATAAGCTTTGTTAAGCTTTATCGTTTCAACTCGATTATATGAATTGGGGAGATCATTTGACACACAAACTTGGGATCAAAATTCAATTCATTGCACAGCCTTAGACCTGGTTTAGTCCACTGTTAGACGTGACTTAATCTGAGGTAGACTTGGTTTAGTCTTGGTTTGTAGGTTGTTGGTCTTAGTAAGCAGTGCTCAGTGTGTTTCCATCGTGGGTTTAAAATTGTTTATACCAGGCTTAATCCAGATTTAAGTCCTGACTGAGTCATGGTGTAGTTCTGGTTTAGTTCTGGTTAAAGAGCCAATATTGCACTATTTTCTGATGTATGTTCTAATGTTCCCCATCACAAACTTTGTTGTGCTTTGTTTCATTCACACATGTTTAACATGAAAAGACACAAAAATTCTGTATATTTCGGCTGAGCTCTTCTTGTTTTTATTAAACTCCTTTAACTTCTTGGTTTAGTTCTGATTTAGTCCAGATTTAGTCCTGGTTTAGTCATGGTTTAGTTCTGATTTAGTCCAGATTTAGTCCTGGTTTAGTCATGGTTTAGTTCAAGTTTAGTCCTTGTTAGTCCCAGTTTAGTCCCAATTTAGTCTTGGTTTAGCCCTGGTTTAGCCCTGGTTTATTCATGATTTAGTCCTAGTTTAGTCCTGGTTTTGCCCTGGTTTAGTCCTGATTTAGTCCCAGTTTACTCATGGTTTAGTCCTAGTTTAGTCCTGGTTTTGCGCTGGTTTAGTCCTAGTTTAGTCCTAGTTAAGTCCTAGTTTAGTCCTAGTTAGTCCTAGTTATGTCCTAGTTTAGTCCTGGTTTTGCCCTGGTTTAGTCCTAGTTTAGTCCTAGTTTAGTCCTGATTTAGTCCTGATTTAATCCTAGTTTAGTCATAGTTTAGTCTTAGTTTAGTTCTGGTTTATTCATGATTTAGTCCTAGTTTAGTCCTGGTTTAGTCCTAGTTTAATCCTTGTTTTAATCCAGGTTTAGTCCCGGTTTCAACACTGTCACTGCAGTTATTTGTGATAATGTTATCTTTAACTGCCATGAAAAGAGCATATTTCCTTACCTTGTTGGAGATCATTGTGATGTGGCTGAAAGTCCCTCGTCCTCCGTGTTTGATTGGCATTGTGATGAAGAATGTGGAGTAGTCCTTGGAAAAAATTGGCTCCTCATTCTGGGAAAAACACCATCAGATTTAAATGTTTACATTGGCTTTTGTATACGTTGGCCTACAGACTTCAAGGACATTTTCTATTCTGGAGCATTTATAGGTTTAAAGGTTGTATAGAGGATTTTTTAAGGGAAGCGAAATACAGCGATAGTCCTTTTTCAAATGTTGCGCATGCGTGACACCACCTTCCTCAGTAGAAACATCTCGTCCCGCCTCTTTACTCTAGAAATCACATTTGTTTACATCCAGTGCATGTTCAGAATTACTGTTGAAGTGACCAGCCTAGAAATATTTTTAGCGACCGACACGTCAGTTTTTAGACCCTTTGGACTTTCTTTTGCGGCGAACTGGTCGTGGATTCTCGTCCACCATCGCAACAAACTTTGTGCGAATTGCGAGGAAGCTACAGTTTTGAAAAAGCCTCAAAGAACCGCTGCATAAACCACATAATCCCTGAGCGCCGACGAGTCAGTTACACTAAAAATGTAGGGAGTTTGACTGACAACCTAACAGCCAATAGAAAAAGAGGGAGCCTCGTTTTCTATTGGCTGATGTTTATCTGGCCTCACTACATCCACAACTGATAGATTTTCATTCTTTTTTTTTTTTTTTTCGGTCATCATAATTAAAAGCCGCTGCGTCTCTGTAATGGTATTTTAAACTTTCAATGACAATTTTAAACTAAAAAAAAAAAAAATCCTCCATACAACCTTTAATTTAAGTGAAACCACATAACATTCCATTTTACTGCTAATATCTGTTATAATATCATCATTCATTCATACATACATACATATATTCATACATACATCTTAATGGCCTCCTGTACGTGTATAGACCTTAGACTGTATAAACAAGTGGACTAAAGGAGCATGACGTCGCCCGTAGCATTCGGTGTTCTGTCAAATTAATCTCACGATAGCAGTTATATTTATGGACAAAATAGCAAAATAAAAACACCAGGATCATGTAGAGCGCATTAATATTTTAAGACCAAATCCACGAGGCTCACAGCAGCAGTTATCCACATTTCTCGATACGATACTTTCACAGTATACATCTCACAGTACGATATTTATTGCGATATTTTGTGGAGGCAAACAAAATTGTGAATATGCTATGTTTTAAACGTGTTCAAAAACAGTTTTTTCTTTTCTTTATTTTCTTAATGTACTAGTAATCTCTACTAAAACAGAGCACAGGATCATGGTATTTGTAGTTCTCTCAGTTTATTTTTCCGAGTTTCCTACCTCTGAACAAGTAACAAAACTGGTAACCTGATTCATCAGTCGGTTTTACTTCACAGAAACCGTCCGACTTCGCAGCATTAGGATTTGTTCGCTCGAGGGTAGGGGGTACTTAATTTATTTAACCATTCTCTGCTATTTGGTTGTGACGTATGTAATGCGCTGGAACACTCAGTGGTGTCTAAGGAATTGCCGGCACAACACAAACAAAGCAGAGAGTGAAAATCCTCGATCTCAGGAATCGTTGCCAACACAGAATGTATGGCTTTGTCTACATCTAACTCGACCGCTTTGTTTACTGTTGTGTTGTACCACAAAAGGGACCCAGACATGGCTTCACAGCTCTTCACTGATTGGCCGGTGTGTAGTCTACAACTTCCGGGGTTCTTGCTAACCGTCTAGTGCAGGGGTGCTCACACTTTTTTCAGCATGCGAGCTACTTAAAAAATGACCAAGTCATAATGATCTACCTAATACAAAGCCAAGCAAACTGCACTGCACTGAAACACTCTGTGCCCCTTTTTTGGACCCTCACCCACAGTTTGAGAACCCCTTCTTTAAGAGAACTTCCTCTGGCACTTTACACAAAACTGTGAAAAAGTGAAGGAAGATTTTTAAACCTGTTTTTTAAAGTTCCAAACTGGAGTTGCATTCTTTTCTGGTTTTGCAGTGATATTTACCAGCCTCTGCACGTTTACCAGACCAAACGCACATCGTGACAAACACAGATGCATTTGTGCACTTTTGTTAGACAAACTTCAGCCAAATGTGGCAGTAGGTCTGTTCTGTAGATCCGCTCTATGCTGTAGACCTGCTTTGTGCCAACACTGTAACACAAATTTAGACAAATTTTTGCTTCACGTTTGGTCTTGCTCTTCTAATCAGCGCGCACTGTGGGAGGGGCTTGAGTTCGCTGTACGAGCGAGAGCGTGAAAAGGCGAGGGGCGGCGTGCTGACGTGAGGCAGATGGACAGGTAGGATGTTTAGGAAGTTGAACCTGCCCTGTGATGCACGCTGGTACACGAGGGCACATGCTGTTGCAGACGAGCCGTGCATAGGGAGCGTGTGTGTTTGTGATGTGCCGTAGAGTCTCTGCGGGCTGCACTGAGCGCACAGGCTGCACTGAGACGCCCCACACGCTCCTGCACACCTGTACAAGTTTATTGCCAACAGCAGCGGCCATAATGACATATGATCACACTTGTTAAGTGTCAGACCTTGAGTGAGAGACAAGACCGAGTCCAAACGTGAGTCCGAGACGAGACACGGCGATCTACCCACACGACCTTGGCGATCGACTGGTAGATCGCGACCGACGTATTGAGCACCCCTGGTCTAGTGTATTCTGATTCCTGACCTAGTCGCTGGAGAGAAATTAAATTGAGTGGAGGCACTCGGTGGCACCAGCCTGTCTACAAAACTGATAACAAAATCATTTATGTTGGCAATATATTGATACAGCAGTCCACGACATCAATACTGTATCATCACATTAAATGATACGATTTATCTATATTTCAATATTTTTGCACACTGCTATTGGGGTCAGAATAATTTTGCTGTGTACTGTCTGCATCTACATTTTTGATTGTCTGATAATGTGTGTATTAGAATGGTAGCTGTCATGAGCACTACAGTGACAGCAAAACTCCGCACTGGCCTCTGAAAGTTGTGACAAGGCCTCAGGATGCATAAGGTAATTAAGGAATAACTTTGGATCACTGCAATCTGTTTAAATGAATTCCTTCTGTTTTTCACTGAAGTAAAAATCAGGTCGGGCTCCTTTAAATGTATTTTTTGGTAACAGTTCCTTCCGCTGGTCGGCTGCATGCCTGTGACGAACATAATTTCCTTTGGGGATGAATAAAACTAATTCTGATTCTGATGTGAGTTTAATATAGAGCCAGAAATATCCTGAAATACCTATCTAGCCCAGTATAGCGAGAGCTAGACAGCAACAAATGTGCTCCTTTATACAGAAAGAGTGTCCTCTCTCACCTGTCTATCCAGCCACTTCTCACTCGACGCCACATGTTTCTATTTCAGGAACACAAAGAGGACAGAGGGGACATGGGTTATAGCTTATACTGTCTCTCACAACACACACATAAAGTACAGTGACAGACCATAGACAGTTGCAACCAAATGAACCTAAAACACACTGAAATTGAATTAAAATGAACTTCCTAAGACCAAAACAACGAGGCTGAAAGTAGCAATTACAGAGCAAGGAGTGACAGTTTTTCAGCAGAAGTCAATTGCAAGCAGACCTCACTCGCTTTCTATTTGGAACGTGACGGAGAGCAGGTTAGCTCTGTCCATTTCTATACAGTGTGTGTGACAGAGGGCATGGGTTATGGCTCACGCTGTCTTGCACACACATATTACAGTCCAGTGACAGCGTAGACACATAAGAGACACTAGAGGAGACTCACCTTTGTGCAGGCCCCGGAGGACACTCCACACAGACACAAGATGGACATGTTCTGAGCGCGGTTCACCCAGCGCACGGCCACTCTCTCGCTGCTCACCCACTTCACCATGGAGATGTAGAATTCACTGGGGACAAGATGGAACAAGATGTGTAAGCTGCAGTAGTAGTAGTAGTAGTAACACTCTAGTAATGCAGTGCAGTTGCCTTAGAGCCATTTTACTCAAGTAAAAGTTAAAAGGGGTGATTTGAATAATTACTAAAGAAAGTACAAAGCTGCCGATGGGTGCAGCGTTGGCAGTGATGCGGTTGCTCTATTGAACCGTTGTGGTGAAAAGGGAGCTAAGTGGAACAGCAAAGCTCCCAATTAGAGCCCTGCAACCCGCGGGACCCAACGCAAAACAGTGCAGCGCGGGACACATTTTGAAAGCTCACTGTGGGTGTATGCGGGAGCAGGACTACACAATGCAGGAGTGGGCGGGAGGGATGAACTGCAGTCCCGCAAACTAAATATGAGTGTAAAGTAAATATACAAATGATGAATGTTAGCATATTATACATAATTTGTGCTGGAGATTTTATTTGGCATTATTAACAACATTTTAAGCAGCAGACTGTCCCCCCTCCTGTATGCCACGCCATGTGGAGAGTCCCCCCGTTCTGTACACCACACAGACAGTCCCTCCTTCCATACGTTGCGTGGGCTGCACCACTAAACCAGAACTAAACCAGGACTAAACCAGGTTTAGAAACAGGTCTAAAACCAGGACTAAAACAGGATTTAGTCAGGACTTAACCATGCTGCTAGACACCCAGCATGCCTCCTCCCATACACAGCCCAATTCCTTTCACTTCTCCGTGTTTGATAGAGCTTAAGAAAGGGAGGGAGCGGGACAAAATATTGCAGATGCAGGTGGGAGTAGGACTGAAAATTAAAATTTTTTGTGGGAGCGCAGCGGGAACGGGACTGAAAATTCTGTCCCAGGCAGACCTCTACTCTCAATTTACTGCTCAATCTATGGTCCTACCCTCACCTATGTTTATGAGCTTTGGGTAATGATCGAAAGGACAAGATCACGGAAACAAATGGTCGTAATGAGGTTCCTCCGCAGGGTGGCTGGGCACTCCTTTAGAGATAGGGCGAGGAGTTCAGTCACATGGGAAGAGCTCGGAGTAGAGCCACTGCTCCTCCACGTCAAGAGGAGTCAGCTGATGTGGCTCGGGCATCTGTTCCTGATGCCTCCTGTTCGTCTTCCTTGGGAGGTGTTCCGGGCATGTCCCACAGAAGGAGGCCCCGGGGAAGACCCAGGACATGCTGGAGGGACTATGTCTCTCAGCTGGTCTGGGAGGAGCTGGAGAAAGTGTCTGGGGTGAAGGACGTCTGGGAGTCCTTGCTTAGACTGCTGCCCCCTCTACCTGGCCCCAGATAAACAGATGAAAGTGGATGGATGGAGTACAAAGTTTGTGATTAAGGATAAGGTATGCATTAGGAAAAGTTGTCCTCTGCATTTGACCTGTTCATCAGTGCCGCTGGGGCAATCTGTCAGGAGCAGTGGCTGTCAGGAGAAGTGGGTGCCCGAGGACCCATCTCCAAATCTTGGCTAATCTCAATCAGGACTACCTCAGCTGGAGGATTTTACATTATTGTGCATCTTTTGGGATTGGCTGTTCTGAGTCATTTGTTTGCATAATTTATTAGATAGAAAGACAAAAAATAAATATATAATAAAAAAAAATTATAACTCACAGTCTTTTCAAATCAAACATTTTGTACAAATTCTGATTGTTTCAAAGAATATTCAAACAAAAAAGAATAATAATTCTAGATCTAAGGTCCCAATCATTGTAGCAGATACACTTAAAGAACCCATATTGCATTATTTTCCACATCAAAAACATACCTGGTGTTGTGTTTTGTTTGATTCACACAAGTTTAAAACATAAACTCTGCATAGTTAAGCTGATTTTCTCTCTCTCTTTTTTTTTCTCTCAAACAGAAAACCTTGTGATGTCATGTGGTAATACAGGAAGTGCTTCACTCCATACACATTCATTAGAATCATTTTGATTAATTTCAGCCTTGGAATTTCCAAACTTAAACAAAAGGTAAAAGGTAGTTGTTAAGTGAAAACTACTACTCCATGACATCACAAGATGGAACAGGGTATTTTGAGTTTTGGAGATGCAGACAGACTAACTAACTAAAACCAGCATTACTCAAACATGTGTGAAAAAACAAAACAAAAAAACAATAGGTGTCTTTTTGAGGTAACAACATTTTAACTTGCCTTAAACTGCAGAAAAATCTAATTTCTGCAGTGACCTTTAAATAGAAGAAGAGTTATAATTTTGCTCAGTTACAGTTAATGTGTATAAAAATGCCAAATGCTTCCAAAAATATATTGTGACTAAATGTAATATGGCATCAGGCAGTACTACACCTCTGCATTTCACTGCTGTACACTCAACACTACATTAGTGTTTCACAGTGTGTACTGAACCTCTTTATGAAGCTGTCAGGAGGTCCCAGCTCTGTGGTCCTTGAGCTGCCATCCAGACTCACCACATTCAGAGACACTGTGGGATTGGGCTGACCCATCTGAAAACACAGAACATATCTTTATTTACAATACAGTTACACATATAATACACACAATACAGTTACGCAACACATTCTTGACTGTTCTATTCCTGCTCTATTGTTGGGTCTTTAGGCAGGACACACGTTGCCTGGTAGGAATGAGATGTGAACTATGCCCAACCCTGTAGCTTAAAGATCTTATGTTACCTCCTCAGAAACATACCTGGAGTTGTGTTTTGTTTCATTCACACATGTTTGAGTAACCCTTTATTATTAGTCTACATCTCCAAACCTAAACATGCTCTGTTCCACCTTATGTTCTCACAAAGTGGTTTCAGGTTAACAGTTACTTTATACCTTTTTTTTTTTCTGCAGAGATTCCCTTAACTGCCTTCAGCAGTTATGTACAATTATGTGTCTTGCCATATACTGTATTTTATAATACAGTGCAACTATAAGCACCTTTTTCATGGTTTGGTTGGTTCTGTGACTTATATATTAACATTTTCACACTGACAGCAGTGAGAGGCTCTAGTCTTGTGTGTCAGTATCTGCTGCCCCTGTTACTCCTGTACCACTGTCACTTCTTGATCTACTGCCCATGTCTCCTAAAGAAAGAGGCTCTGTCCTGTCTGTATCATGTCACCATTACTTCTGTACCACTAAAAACTTAACATTTAAACAAACTTATAAAGATGACTGAGAAGACTGAACTGCTATTAAAAAACAATAATCGAGCAGCAGAAAAAAAGTTTGGAGTGAGTGAGAAACTTGTGACTCCGGGAGGGTGCAACATGCGACTTTCCTGGAAGTCATTGGATGGATCGACAAAACCTGGACTTCAGTGACACTGAAACCATCCTGTCAGGATTCAGAAAGGCTGGAATAATTCTAACTGGAACTGATGCTGAGTCTGACAACAGCTATTTAGTGATTTGGAGTGAGATGGAGAGTTTGTTAAACTTGTTCTGTTCTGTTGTTTATGTTATATTTATCTGAAGAACTGTTCATATGTGACGTTAACAGTCTGTTGTTCTCTGTTCTATTGTTTTTACTAGAACTTGCCTTTCAAGATGAAATGTTGGTTCCTGGTCTCTGATTTTATAAAATGAACTTCCCCCCAGAAGTGTGACTCGGTGGTCCGGTGTGAGTTATATATGTTTATTTCTTCTTCATTACACATTCTGGTGGTGGTCTTATCAAACGCTTTTCTCCATGGAGCTGTTATTGCTTTGTCTTGAATGTTTCACAGTATGGCATTAAACTTTTCCACCTTCATGGAGACCAAACCAGACCAAGTTACAGGTCAGATCCAGGGATAGGCAACCCCTCTTACAGTCAGATTGCTTTTTTTTTTGTGGATAGTTAAAACGACTTGTAATTGTAAGGTTGAGCTGTTTAATGTCATACTGTGTAACACTGAGGGTAGAGCAATGACATATCCATAGAAACAAACAGGTGACAGAGCCCAACAAAAAAGTTACACGGTGCACCTTTAAACCTCCTGGTACACTTTGTGGTTTAGTTTCAGTTTCGTCACAGTTATTGTCTCAGTTGTGTACCAGTTTTGATACACTGAGCTCGAGTTCACAAAATACCTTAGATATCTCTCCTTAAATGCCTTGTAATACCAGCTTCATAACTGTGTGGGAACTTTAAAATAAAACATAACGGATTGAGAGAATAACCTCCATGCACTCGCATCAAACCTACAAAAATACACCATAATGAGTTGCCATTGTCTTAAAGGTTACATCTGTAGCTCTTCTGACTCCGCCCACACAGTCCAGAGCCTGATTATTATGATGCACTTTAGGATTTGAAACAATGAGCTGCAGGCAACGCGCCTCTCTATTTATACTCATGTCAAAGCCAACAAAGCACTAAAGAGCAAGGACAGGTTCTAATGAGCAGACAGGAGGGAGGAGAGGAAAGGAGGGAGGAGAGAGGAGGAAGGAGGGAAGGAGGAGACAGGGAGGAGAGAGAGAGGGGAAAGGAGAGGGAGGATAAGGAGAGGAAGGTTAGAGAGAGGGCAGGGAGGATGAGAGGAGAGAGAGTAAGAGAGAGCGAGGAGAAAGGAGAGGAGAGAGGGAGGAAAGGAGGGAGGAGAGAGGAGAGGAGAGGGAGGGAAGAAGAGAGGAGGGAGGAAAGAGGAGAGAGAGGAGGAGGAGAAAGAAGGCGGAGAGAGGAAAGAGGACAGAGAGAGAGGAAGAGAGAAGGAAGGATGGAGGGAAGGAGAGGGAGGATAAGAGGAGAGAGGAGAGGTGAGAGGAGGGAGGAAAGAGGAGAGGGAGGCAAGGAGGGAAGGAAGAGAGAGGGAGGATAAGAGGAATGAAAGAGGACAGGTAGGATGACAGGAGAGAGGTAAAAGAGAGAGAGGAGAGAGGGAGGAAAGAGAAATGAGAGAGGAAAGGAGAGGGGAGAGAGGGAGGGAAGGAGAGAGGAGGAGAGGGAGAGAGAGAGGAGAGAGAGAGAGAGAGTAGAGAGAGAGAGGAGGGAGAGGGAGGGAGGGAGGGAGGGAGGGAGGGAGGGAGGGAGGGAGGGAGGGAGGGAGGAGGGGAGAGGGAGGATAAGAGGAAAGAAGTAAGAGAGGAGGGGGGGAGCAGAGAGGTAAGAGAGGAGGGGGCGAGGAGAGAGGTAAGAGAGAGGAGAAAGGGAGGATGCAGGTGAGAGAGAGAGCAGAAAGAGGAATGTGAGTGGAGAGAAGACTGAGGATGAGAGGAGAGAGGTAAAAGAGAGAAGAGGAGAGAGGTAAGAGAGAGAAGAGGAAAGAGGAGAGAGGAGGCGAGAGGATGGAAGGAGGGAAGGAGGAGAGAGAGGGGAAAGGAAGGAGAGAGGAGAAAGGAGACGGAGGATAAGAGGGGAGAGGTAAGAGAGAGGATAGAGGGAGGAAAGAGGAATGAGAGAGGACAGGGAGGATGAGAGGAGAGAGGTAAGAAAGAGAGAAAGGAGAAAGGAGAGGAGATCCAGGATAAGAGGAGAGAGGTAAAAGAGAGGAGAGGAGAGAAAGAGGAGAGAGGAAGGAAAAAGGAAGCAGCCTTAGGGAGCATTATCGTCCTTTATAGATCATGACCTTTGTCATGAGCACAGCTCATTAACGTATAAAACAGAGACGTATGGAGTGTATAGAAAAGACAACACAATACACAGACACACAGAGTTTCTCTAGGGAGACTGGGCTCTGGATAATAAGACACACATTGATCTGCGTATATGTCTTGGATACATATAATTACATTGGCAATTTGTGTTTAAAAGAAAAAAGTTGAGTTCTTTTGTTAGTGCACATTGTAAAAAATCACATATGTATTATTATTTAACAGAGACTGAAATATGAACTGACAAACTAATACAAGAATCACTCCTCATGTATTTCAGAACATGTTTGTTTAGATCTAAACTACAGCTTCAACAACAAGTTCCAGTTAACCTCAGATCCTTGGCACAGTTTGTCAAACTCTGTTACAAATGCGGGAGTGAAAACTGATCAAGACTTTAAACTTGACAAACTAATTAGTGCTGTGGTAAAGATATTTCCATCAGATAAAGCCATCACTTTTGAGGTTTTGATCCACACTTTTGTCACGACCAGACTGGATTACTGCAGTGTCCTCTGTGTCGGCATAAGCCAGTCCTCACTCATGCTTGCAGCTCGTTCAAAACGCAGCTGCTCGTCTTTTAACTGGTTCACGGACATATGACCACACGTCCCCAATCCTGTCTGCCCTTCACTGCTCCCTGTTGGTTTCAGAGTAGATTTTAAAATACTTTTATTTGTTTCTAAATGCCTAACTGTCCTTGCCCCAAAATACCTGGCTGACCTGCTGGTGCCATACTCTCCAATGCTCCCTCAGATCTGCTCACAAGGTTCTTCTCGCATTCCTCAATCCAGGAGGAAGTTTAGACGAGCTGTTGGGCCTAAATGATGGAATGAGTTGCCTATTCACATAAGACAAGCTGACTTTCTTTTTTGCTTTTAAATCACTTCTTAAAACAGACTTGCTTTCTTTGGCTTTTAACAAATTTTGAGCTCTTTTACAGTTCAATAATTGTTGTTCATTGTATTATTTTTGTATTCATTGTATTCATTTTGTATTATTGTTGTGTGTTGTGTGTGTTATGTTTTTACCTTTGCGTAATATTGCTTTATAAATAAACTGGATTTGGATTTGTAAAGACAGGATATTTTGTTCTTTGCGGAGGACTTTCTATTATCTGCATAGTTACAGTCTTTGAAATTGGATAACTGCATCAACTCAAATTCAGATTTTAAGGCTGTTGGCACAATATTACTGCAACATCTTTGTCAGTCTGCCCCCGAACACTGATTAACTGATTAAACAAACAGTTTTCAGTAGGAAGGCACTTCAACTATACTTTCTCATTATGTGTAAAGCATGAGCTGGTGTACATGTACTGTGTCCACTGGGAGACAGGAGACAGTGTAATCTTTCACTAATTGCGTGCTGTCAGAGTCCGTCAGGTGTGGTGTGTGGCGACAGAACAGACGCATGAGTACGACCTCTGCTCTGATCATTAACACACTTAATACACTTTACGGCAGCGTTTAAAGACAACACACAACAAATTGTAAGACTCAGACAGCAGGGATTAATGCTCAAATTGGATTTTTTTGCGAGGTTGTTCACATTTCCAGTTAAATGCGAGTTGTATGTGATCTCCAGTGTGAACATTAAACACCCCAAAAGTGTCCCGCATGAAAATTGGAGGACACGATGACATCACATGCAGCGATCGTGCTCAGTGTTTACAGAAGTCGCCTAAACATGGGCTCTAGCATTGAGCACCTGGTGATTTTAAAGTTGCTGTTAGGTCCGGTCAAGTGGTAACGGAGGGAAACAGGGGCAGATTTTTGACATTCAAATGTCTCTTATTCAGAAACTAGAGGGACTATTGAAATAAGTAAAGTATCAGAATGTAGGAAAGAGTTACACTCCAACAGGGTCAAGTTAAACCTGTGATATTATTCTTTTTTTAAAACTCATGTCGATAACAGAGGGAATGAAATATGCAGCACTTTTTGGGCAATAAATACAAACAGTGAAAACTAGTGGTTCTCACTTACATATCCTTAACAAACTGGTTTGAATATTTGCTTCATATAGTTTTCTACCATATGGGACAAGATTAGGTTGAAAAACCTCTTACTTTTTGAGTAATGAGATTTTTTATTAAGAAAGGTCATGGTAACGGAGGGAAAAGTAACGGAGGGAAAATTGTTCAAACAAGTAGAAGGTGCATGACTTTACATAATTTGTCAACTTTTTTTCTTCCGAATATTTTAATATTACTTCAAAATGAAAGGAAACTATTTCTATAAAATATGTCAGTCCTTCCAAGCAAATTTTGATCATTTTAAAAACTTAAAAAAAAAAAAATCATGAACCTTCATCAACAGTTCAAAGATGGAATAACACAAGATATGATGAAATACATCCATTTATTTACATGATTTGCAGGTCTTTGAAATGTGGGAAATCATTTTTGTTCCATGTTTCATTCATGGTCTGTTTAAAACATATGGAACTTTAGAACCAAAAATGGTACAGAAAAAAGGTCAACAGTTTCATAAACTAGAGTACATATGTATCTGTTCAATACAGTTTTATATCAGATGCATTAACTTGTATTTTTGGCCTTGCTGTTTACTTCTGCTTGACCAGGCCCTGTTGTACCGGGGCTAGAACATGTACAGCTTATTTGTTTTAAGGGGGAGATTGAGAAGGAGAAGGATGAGGTTTTTGGCCGTGGCGTTTTGTGGGGCAGTGGCAACAACATCCATAGAAAGGAACGTGTGGGTGCGGAGCCACAGTCAAGAGTAGAGGGATTGCCATGTGCTTCACTGCTTTACTCACACAGAGTTCATACACAATTTTTGTATGACGAGAAGAATGTTTGTGTACATTTGTTGATGACGTGTATGTGGGATGAATGCGACCTGGCTGTTCAGACTGAAGTCTCACATCAAAATATCGGATATGTATCGGTTTTAGGAGCACATATCCAAGTGGCCTGGGTGGCATTTGAAAAAAACGGATCTGCGTCACTGAGACTGTCATTAAAAGATCAGATACAGGTCACATAAGGGCGAAAAATTCAGACTCGGGTCACTTCAGGCTGCAGTGAACGTAGCCTAAGACTCAACAAGATATCTGCTTAAAGGGAGACACTAGAGGCTTTTTTGTTTTTGGTCAGTTTGGTCTCAAGACATACAAGCTTTCATGAAACTATTTAATTGTCCACTCTGTATTGAAAGAGGTTTTAATAGGTCATTTAATCAACCTGCAGTCACAGAGTTATATGGGGCATTGTAAATTCAAAGACCGTTTTCTCAAAATCCATTTAAAGTACGCATTTTAGAACTGCTTTATTGTCTTTCCTCAATTAGAATGTTAAACCAAATTTTGTATAAATAGTAAAAAAAAAAAAAAAAATTTCAAGACTTTCTCTGATTTTGTATGCTGTGGGTCTGCTCTGGCTTTTTTCACACTCACAGTTCCACCTTGTAGAATATTGTTGTATTATGACAGGTTATGCTGAGTTAAAGGTGCACCTAATGTTCCACAGTATGACATTAAACTATTATTTATTAAATTATTTTTGTGTTTTTTATGCATTAGGTGTTTTAATGCTCAAAAAACCACACACAAAAAACATAAAACAAATATAAATACAAGCACTGTTAATGTGTATGGGCTTGCTTCTCCATAGATCTGATCTATAGATTGGTGTGGTGGTTTATCTCCATGGAGATTGATAAGTTTAATGTCATATACAGGGACATTATAATCAAAACAGTAACATCTTCCAGGTTACACAATGCTTTTTTCTTTCTTCCTTCATTATACAATTCAATACAATTACCGTATTTTCCGCACTATAGGGCGCTCTGGATTATAAGGCGCACTGTCATTGAATGGTCTATTTTTGAACTAGATAAATAAGTCAGTCAAAGTTTATTTAAAGGTTGTATAGAGTATTTTTTAAGGGAAGAGAAATACAGTAACAGTCCTTGTGCATGCGTGACACCACCTCCCTCCTCCTTACTCTAGAAATCACGCTTGTTTACATCCAGAATTACTGTTGAAGTGACCTAGAAGTAATTTAGCGACCTATGCATCAGTTTTTAGACCCTTCGTCTGCTTCAGTCACGCAATCTCTGGAAGGAATCTCCAAGAATCACCTCAGTTTGGCTTTGCTCCTTTTCCCCTTCTCTTCTTCTTTCAGTGACCTCAAAAACAGACCTTCTTTTGCAGCGAACTGGTCGTGGATTCTTGTCCGTCATCGCAATAAACTTTTTGCGAAATGCGAGGAAGCTACAGTTTGAAAAAGCCTCTAAGAATCTCTGCATAAACCATGTAATCCCCACACACCGGTGAGTCAGTTACACTAGGGAGTTTGACTGACAACCTAACAGGCAATAGAAAATGAGAGAGCCTTGTTATCTATTGGCTGATGTTTATCTAGCCTCACTACGTCCACAGTTGATAGATTTTCATTATTTATTTTTTATTTTTTGGTCATTATAATTATAAGGTGGCTGCATCTCTGTAATGGTATTTTAAACTTTCACTGACAATTTGAAACAAACAAAAAAAAATCCTCCATACAACCTTACATACAACCTAACGCATTCACAATAACTTTCAACTTTGTTCAATTGTAACGCGTAAAAAATACCGTCTGAGACGCTAAATTCGTAAAGTATTCAAAATAACTCATAATTGTTCAAACAGTTGGTCATTATCCGAGTCAGTGTGGTTACTGTTCCCTGGCAGTTCAGTGATGATTCTGGTCTTGGTGAAAGCTCGGACCACAGTTGATACTGATCCTTAGCCCAGGTGTCCACGATCCATTGGCAGATCATGGGTGGCGTAAGTCACTCGGCGCTGTCTCCCTGTCTTGGTGAATGTGTGTTCGCCTTCTCTCATCCACTGCTCCCACACAGCTCGTAGTTTAACTTTATAATAGCCTTGAGTTTTAAGTCTGCATTGTAAGCATGTCTCTTGACAGGTATGTATTACTCCATGATGCTCCTGACTACAGGAGCCATAATGCTGCAAGTGGTGCGGCTTTGTAGTTTACTAAAGTCGTACTAAGACACCCCAATAAATTCATATATAAGGCGCTCTGGATTCGCACAGTTGTTTTTTTTAATGAAATTAGGGACTTTAAAGTGCGCCCTATAGTACAGAAAATGCGGTACCTATATAAATATATTTCTAAATTCTTGTATACTATCTTGTTCCTTACATACTGAAGTAGCATATAGTACCTTGGGATAGGGGTACTCGTGTCCTTTTGGGTACAGGGCTCCGGTGAAGCGTGGCAGGAGCATGTTTGGGACCTCTGAGTCGTTGATGGTCAGATAGGCCAGTTTAGATCCATCAGGAGACCACCAGTGAGCTACAGGAGTTTTCAAGACTTCAACTATAAAACAGAGAACACACCAAAACAAAACAATCCATGAAACACTGTCACTTTCACTTTTCGTCAGTGTCAAGTAGAGGTACAAGGTTTTCACAGTTTGAAATGGTTTCTTGTGAGCTTTACGCTATGTCATAATGTTGTTATCTCATCCAAAACAAATCTTGAGTTGTCTTTTGTTGCCTTCACATACACACAAGTATATCTCAATACATTTTGCTATATTTCAATTAGAGCCCGACCGATATATCGGTTGGCCGATATTGTCGGCTGATATGGGCAACTTTAGGCATATCGGCTATCGGCCGATATGCTTGCTGATAGGGGCCGATATTTCACGTGGGCATGTTATACCTCGTTATAAAGCTTAGACTCTCTACATTCTGTTCATTTAATCCAATTTACAGACAGATAAATGTCCTAATATGTGGCTCCACATCAGTATTTATCTACGGAGTCATTTGTCTGTGTGTGTCTGTGCTGTCCCTGAACACACCACAGAGTCGCGTCACTCACGTGCGTTTGTTTACACCTGCAGACACAGATCCAAACACTGAGATTATTTTCTTTTTATGGACAATCGGTTTGAGTCTGGATTAAAAGGACATTTATTAGTGCAGATTTGTGATGTGAGGAGGAGCCTGTATGAGCGGTGAGTGTTGGAAATATGTCGACTCTGAAGCTAGTTTTTGTCCATTTGTTATGGGTTAGCTGCTGTAGCTCCCGCACATAAACAGACTGTTTTCTATTGGTCTGTTCTAAAGTGACTATATTGGCCGTATATTTGCTACTGGACCTGCACTGATATGTAAATGAGCTGTGAACAGACGTGTGAATTATGACATTTGCGCATATAATTAATTACCTGCGGCGCGCACGTATTTACGGCTAAAGGCTAATAGCGCTACTTTCTTTACTAGTTATGGGTCCGTCGCGAACGAAATGACTCTTAGAACCGGCTCTTTGAAGGGAACGACGGGAGCCTGATCCTTATTGGGAGTCGTGTTTTCTCTTTCTCTCACTTTTTTTCTCTTCACGCCGCGTGAATTCGTGGTTTGACAGCAGCAGCGGCTAAAAACGAAACTTTGAGAAATTTGCGTGTACGTAGGAAAAAACAAAAAAAAAAACCTAGCATATTTGACTGTAGTTTAGCATATAAAATAAATAAGTCCCGGTTTAGTCCTTTTTCAGTCCTGGTTTAGACCTGGTTCAGTCCTGATTCAGTCCTGCTTTAGACGTGCTTTAGTCCTGCTTGCAACAAAACAATCTGAAGAGCCACTTGGGAGCCAAAAGAACCAGCAGCTTTTAGTGAGCCGAGCCAAAAGAGCCGGTTCTCTAAAAAGAACTGGAATACCCATCACTAGTGTCTAGAATGTGATGCAAAAATGCCATTAAGCCAACCTACTGTCTGTAAATATGATGTAAAGAGGCAGAATAACAATAAATGTTGCCTAAATAAACCCAATTTAAAATCCACCAGAGCCAAACCTAAGTTTTTTAAACAATTCAACATTTACAGTGAATTTTTACATCACAAAATATATCGGCGATTATATCGGCTATCGGCAGCGCCAACTCCCATTATATCGGTTTCATATCGGCCACAGCAAAATCCATATCGGTCGGGCTCTAATTTCAATATACGAGAAATATCTCGATATCTGTACACAAAAAATAAACTGCTGCAAAAACAAATATACCAAATTCCGCAAGGTCTTTTTTACTGAAGTGCCAAGAGGTAGACAGTTTGTGTAGGAACAAAGTGCTTCTGCGATGTTAAAAGAAAAAAAAAAAAAGAAAAAAATCCCTATATACAAAAATATAAATTTAACTGTAAAATAAACTGTTGAACACATTCTACACTGCAGCAGATTATTACATAAAATCTTCTGCATAAATAAACTTTACATTACTAAACTTTACAATATATAAACCATAACCACTATAGAACCACATCAGCCCGTTTGAGATTATAATGTGTTTAATGCGGCTTTGCGAACATTTGTTTACATTTTACAGAAACAAACTGTGACAGAGGATGTGCTGCTAATGGTGAGTCTGTAAATGGTGGAAAAGGTTTGTGGTGCTAGAAGCTTTTGGTTGACACCAACTTTCGGCATTCACTGGCTGGTTGTGGGTGCCGCCGTGTTGAATTAGACAGTGTGCAAGGGGAGAGTGTGTGGGGGTGAGCACAGAGAAGGCAAACAAGCAAAGACAATTTCAGAATCCATTTTTCTATTTTAAAAAAAATATCTCAATATATTTTAAATATATATCGCCCACCCCAATGTTTGTGTATCCTTTAATCTAAGTTCAAAATGCTCTGTTCCACCTTGTGATGTCATGTAGTTTTCAAGTTAACAGCTCCTTTTATCTTTTACCTTTAGTTCAGTAGAGATTTGCAATTCCAGAGCTGAAATGATGAATACACATATTTTAGGGAGGAGTATTAGATAGAATATTAGAACTATTTGAAAAAGAGAAAATAATTACATTCTCCCCCTGTTCTTTTTGTTCTTTTATATTATGTTTTGGTCCATTGTAGTATCACATTTAGAAGTACTTTTTCTACTACATATATTTGTTTACATAATTTGTCTTCGAACTCTGTTTGTTTTGTTTTCCAGACACAGAAAGTATACTAGTATATGAAATTGTCTTGTACCTTCGTAGAGCCAGTCTGCGATCCCGTTGAAGATGATGCCCTCCTGCCCTGAGGAAGTGAGCCTCCAGGAGCTGCTCTGCACATCGGTCTGGTAGTAGATGTTGTTCTCAAATATGTACATCTGGAAAGAGACATAGAAACAGAACTTATTCTAATGTGAACATCTTATCAGATATCAAAACTTGTCCCTGTTAAAGGTAGACATGTTTTAATCAGATACAGATTTACAGAGAATGACTGTAATGCTGATTTATTCTTAATTACAAAACATCAGACAAGACGTGATATTTATTTGGTGTTTTGGTTGTCAAGACTCACATGAGACTCTAATTTGGGTTGCCAGTTTCAGTGCTGAAATCCAGTTGGGTTAAACCTAAAATTCCTCTCTCTGATCTGAATCCTCACTACCTCAACCCCAACATCTGCAGTCATTAGCCAGTGCCTCTAGTGATGCTGTCCGTCTAAATACAGAGAAGGAGAAAAACTTGTATGCAGGGGTGTAGTGGTCGTGGTACGCAGGAGTACACGGGGGTATGCCGTCCACCCACTTCACCCGACGTGAGATATAAAAAAAATAAAAATAATAACAAATATAAAATAGCTACAACTTAAATGTCAAACCAGAGCTATTGGCAAAGGTGAAATCAACCTGCATAGACTCATGATATCTGCAGGACTGAACGAAAGGACCAGCGCAGAACTCCACGCCCTACGAGGCTATGTGCAGCTGTGGCCCGATCGCGCTTTGTGGGCACACTGCTTCGTGGGCTCTGGGTGCTCTCTGTCTCAAGTCCAAGATTAGTCCAAGATTAGTCCTAGTTTAGTTTTGGTTTAGTCCTGGTTTAGTCCTGGTTTAGTCTTGTTTTAGTCCTGGTTTAGTCTTGTTTTAGTCCTGTTTTAGTCCTGGTTCAGTCCTGATTCAGTCGTGGTTTAGTCCTGGTTTAGTTCTGGTATAGTCCTGGTTTAGTCCCATTTTAGTCCTTTTTTAGTCCTGGTTTAAGACTTGATTTAGTCCTGGTTCAGTCCCAGTTTAATCCTGGATCAGTCTTGTTTTAATCATGGTGTAGTCTTGTTTTAGTCCTTTTTTAGTCCTGGTTTAGTTCTGGTGTAGCCCTGTTTTAGACCTGTTTTATTCCTTTTTTAATCCTGTTTCAGTCCTGGTTTAGTCCCTTTTTAGTCCTCTCTTAGTCCTGATTTAGTCTTGGCTTAGTCTTAGTTCAGGCCTGTTTTTTTTTTCTGTTTTTGTTCAGGTTCACTCCTGGTTTAGTCCTGGTGTAGTCCTGGCACCTTTCTGTTTGTACTGAAAGGCTTTTGGGGTGGAGGTGGATGGGTTGGCGGGTCAGCGGGATTCATGACATCACAAATTGCGTACCCCCACTTAAAAAATCCCCACTACACCACTGCTTATGTGTATATGTGTGTATGTGCCGCTTAAGGAGCTGGCAACCCAGGTTCAGTTGTGATTGTAATACGAGCCCGGGCTACATTCACTTCCTTTAATGAGCTGAGGAGCACTGGCACATGGACACTGGAGTATTCTTTTGTTGTTGTTCATTGCTCTGTTTAAAGTGTCAATCAAATCTACACTTTTCCCAGCGGGGCAATTACAAGTAAATATATCACGCTTTTTTACTTTTAAACTGTCACTTACGCAGATCATTATTTTATGTTGTGTTCATTGCAAACCACAAAATTCTTAAAGTTCTCTGTTGCTGAATTCACCTCTTTATAGCTGCATTTCATCAAATTTAAGTTTTCATTTTCAGTGTTTATTTATTTATTTATTTATTTATTTTTGCATTTATTTATATGAAGTATGACTCTTGTATCTCAGCTGATTAATGTTCCAGGACTAGACCAGGACCAAACCAGGACCAGACTAGGACCAAACTAGGACTAAACAAGGACCAAACCAAGACTAGACCAGGACCAAACCAGGACCAAACCAGGCCCAAACCAGGACCAAACCAGGACAGATCAGGATTAAGCCAGAACCAAACCATGACCAAACCAAGACCAGACTAGGACCAAACCAGGACCAACCCAAGACCAAACCAGGACCAGACTAGGACAAAACCAGGACCAAACCAGAAGCAGACTAGGACCAGACCAGGACCAGACTAGGACCAAACCAGGACCAAACCAAGACCAAACTAGAACCAAACCAGGACAAAACCAGGACCAAACCAGGACCAAACCAGGACCAAACCAGGACCAAACCAGGACCAGACTAGGACCAAACCAAGACCAAACCAGGACCAGGCTAGGACCAAACTAGGGCCAGACTAGGACCAATCTAGGACTAGACTAGGACCAAACCAGGACCAAACCATGACCAGACTAGGCCAAAATCAGTACCAAACCAGACTAGAACCAAACCATGACAAGACTAGGCCAAAACCAGGACCAAACCAGGACTAGACTAGGAACAAACCAGGACCAGTCTAGGACCAGACTAGAACCAAACTAGGACCAAACCAAGACCAGACCAGGACTAGACTAGGACCAAACCAGGACTAGGACAGACTAGAACCAAACTAGGACCAAACCAAGACCAGGACTAGACTAGGACCAAACCAGGACCAAACCAGGACCAGGCTAGGACCAAACTAGGACTAGACTGGGACCAAACCAGTACCAAACCATAACCAGACTAGAACAAAACCAGGACCAGACTAGAACAAACCCAGGACCAGACTAGAACCAAACCAGAACCAAACCAGGCCCAAACCTGGACCAGACTAGGACCAAACCAGAACTGAGCCAGAACCAAACCAGGACTGAACAACAATGACAAGACTAGGACTAAACCAGGACCAGACTAGGCCCGATGTACGACTCTTCTATCTCAGTTTATTAATGTGTTTTTTTATTATTCCAGTTTTGAATCTTGCAAATCTCGCAGTTTGATTTCTAATATTAATTTTGTGCACTCCGGTTTGTGTATTTGCATTTCTCAAAGATTTATTGTGAACGCTGAGCACTTTGAAGACAGACCTGCTCGTACAAATGGCATATTGGGAAGAGTAATGAAGTACAGGGAGCGTGCTGGTTTATAAAGCCTATTTAACCAGTGATAACATAATGACTAATGCAGCCACTGACACAGCACTTCTTCAACCAGAGGAGGCAGCGCAGATAAATATGTCGTCACATGGTTAATTACATCTCTGTTTGAGTGGAGAAGAAGAATGGAGAAGTCCTGGGAGGCATTTTTCACTTTAAAAATACACGGTTTTAAACTGCTGGTTTGTTCCACTCAGACTGTCTTCACTTCACTCGTATCGATTGATTTACATGAGACTAAACAGAAACTAAACCAGGACTAGACCAGGACCAGACCAGGACTAAACTATAACCAGATAAGGACCAAACCAGGACCAAACCAGGGACAGATCAGGATTAAATTAGGACCAGACTAGGACCAAACCAGGACCAGACTAGGACCAAAGGACCAAACCATGACCAGACTAGGACAAAATCAGGACCAAACCAGGACCAGACCAGGACCAGACTAGGACCAAACCATGACCAGATTAGGACCAAACCAGGACTAGACTAGGAGCAAACCAGGACCAGTCTAGGACCAGACTAGAACCAAACTAGGACCAGACTAGGACCAAACCAGGACCAAACCAGGACCAGACTAGGACCAAACCAGGATCAGAATAGGACCAAACCAGGATCAAACTAGGACCAAACCATTACAGATCAGGACCAAACCAGGACCAGACTAGGACCAAAATTGGACTAGACCAGACCAAAGCAGGACCAGACTAGGACCAAACCAGGATCAAACCAGGACCAGACTCGGACTAAACCAGGACAGATCAGGATTAAACCAGGACCAAACCAGGATCATACTAGGACCAAACCTGGACTAGACCAGTACCAAACAAGGACTACACCAGGCCCAAAGCAGGACCAAACCAGTCCCAAACCAGGATCAAACCAGGACCAGACTAGGACCAAAACTGGACTAGACCAGGCCCAAAGCAGGACAAGACTAGGATCAAACCAGGACCAGACTAGGATCAAACCAGGACAGATCAGGATTTAAACCAGGACCAAATCAGGACCATACTAGGACCAAACCTGGACTAGACCTGCACCAAACAAGAAGTAGACTAGGCCCAAAACAGGACCAAACAAGGACCAAACCAAGACCAGACCAGGACCATACTAGGTCCAAACCTGGAGTAGACCAGCACCAAACCAGGACTAGTCCAGGCCCAAAGCAGGAACAGACTAGGGCCAAACCAGGACAGATCAGGATTAAACTAGTACCAAACCAGGACCATACTGGGACCAAACCAGGACCAGATCAGCACAAAACCAGGACTAGACCAGGTCCAAAGCAGGACCAGACCAGGACCAGTCCCAGACTAGAACAGGCCCAAACCTAGACCAGGACCAAACCAGGACTAAACCTGTACTAGACCAGGATCAGTAGATCCTTTTTGTGGCTGCTGCAGGATGTTCATTACAATGAACAGATTTACCTGAGAGGTGACCTGAAAAAACACGTAGATGTAGGAGGAGGATGTAGGAGTGTCAGTGAAGTACTCACCAGCTGCTGTCCCTGAACGCCCCATGACGCAAACTGCAGCACAGAGTCCGACACTTCTGGTGGGTTCAGCTCACGCACCTCTCTGGATGAAACCACAAAAATAAGTATGTTTTAATTACTTTAGGTACATCTGTGTTTTTGAATCTCTTGACATATTTGAACATTGATATTGTGAAACATCTTTCCTGTCCTCACCTTGTGTAGAGATTATAGATGAGGTAAGACGCCAGGAAGGACTTCTGGTACACCTACAGGGCAAAGGACAAGAAAATGAAACAAAACTGTCAGTAAAATCCAAAAGCGTGAAGGATTTACTAAATATATTCATAATTTCACACCAGCAGTCCAGGGTCAGATGGGTCGGCAGGTTTATGCAAATTTTCATTGAACACGATTACACAGTTTTCATAATATTTCATAAAAGGGGTAAAACTGATTTGGAAAGACGATTGAGGCTAAATCCACACTTGCACGCACATAGTTTTAGGATTAAACCCTGATGTAGACCAGGACTAAACAAGGGCAAGACCAGGTCCAACCCAAGTTCATTAAAATGGGTTCAAAGAGGATCACATCGAGACAAGTGTGAATGTACTCCAAGTCTAAACTGGGACTAAACCAGGTCCAGCCTTAAAGGTGCATTTATGTAACCTTTCTGATGGAGGATTTGTTATTCCATACAGATCAATAACATCTCCATAGAGACAAGCAACTGGTGGACCCTCTACCAGAAAAGTTATATATTCACCTTTAAGTTTTCGATTTTGTGTTTAAATGAATAATGGAGAAAAACAGAAAATGTTTCCTGTTTCTGTGACTTAAACTGTGATACTGGACCAGGACTAAAACAGAACTACACCAGGACTGGACCAGGACTAAAACAGAACTACACCAGGACTGGACCAGGACTAAAACAGAACTACACCAGGACTAAAATAAGAACTACACCAGGAATGAACCAGGACTAAAACAGGACTGAACCAGGACTAAAACTGAACTACACCAGGACTGAACTAGGACTAAACCGGTCTCAGTCCTGGTCTGGTCCCGGTCTCAATCCCAGTCTGGTCCCGGTCTGGCCCCAGTCTCAGTCCCTGTCTCAGTCTCAGTCTGGTCCCAGTGTCAGTCCCAGTCTGGTCCCAGTCTGAGTCCTGGTCCAGGTCCTGGTCTTGGTCCTGGTCCTGGTCCTGTTCCTGATCCTGGTCCTGGCCTGGTCCCAGTCTCAGTCCTGGTCGGGTCCCGGTCTGGTCCTGGTCTCAGTCCTGATCAGGTCTATGAGGGCGCACCTCCAGGCCCGTCCCAACACTCAGTCCTGGTTTAGACCTGGTGTAATCCTGTTTTAGTCTTGGTTCAGTCCTGGTTCAGTATGGCATTGGAGTCACAGGAAACCTTTACCTGTTTTTTTTTTTTCATTATTAATTTAAATTCAAAACCGAAAACTGAAAAAAACGAATCGTTATCAATTTTTTCATTTTGGTTTTGGAGACAATTAGTGAAGAATATAACTGTTTTTTCAATTTCTTATTTTTGGTTTTATTTTGAAAAACAAATGAATGAATGAAATGATACATGGATTTTTAAGTCATGTTACAATGCTGTTACCTCATCAAAAATATGCCTGGAGTTGTGTTTTGTTTCATTCACATGTTTGAGGAATCTTTTATTATTAGTGTGTTTACATCTCCAAAGCTCAAAATGCTCAGTTCCACCTTGTGATGTCATGAAGCGGTACTTTTCATGTTAACAGCTAACTTCCACCTTTAGTCAGGGGTGTAGTGGGCAAAAAACAAATAAAAAAAACCCAAAACAAATATAAAATAGCTACAACTTAAATGTCAAACCAGAGCTATTTGTAATGGTGAAAACAACCTGCATAGGCTCATGAAATCTGCACTACTGTCCTATAGTGATATGAGACATGAGGGACCAGGACTGAACCAGGACTGAAACAGGACTAAACCAGGACTAAACATCAGTCTAAACCAGGTCCAAAACAGAACTGAACCAGGACTGAGTGTTGGGACGGGCCCGGAGGTGCGCCTGCGTAGACTGTCAGGTGGCCGCAGGTGAAGGAACCGGCACAGAGCTTCGCGCCCCACGGGGCTAAGCATACACACATGTGTACACCCTGCTCCGCAGGTTTGGGGTTCTTCCTCTCTCTCTCAAAAGAGATTAGTCCAAGATTAGTCCTGGTTTAGACCTGGTTTAGACCTGGTTTAGACCTGGTTTAGACCTGGTTTAGTCTTGGTTTAGACCTGGTCTAATTCTGATTCAGTTCTGGTTCAGCTCTGGTTTAGTCCTGGTTTAGTCCAGTTTTAGTCCTGGTTCAGTCCTGGTTCATGTGTTGCAGTCTATGATTTATGTTCTGTAGGTGATTATGAACGGCGTGAATGTTAATAACTTGATTCCACATCATTTTGAGTAAAAAAACAAAAAAAAACAAAAAAAAAAACATCAAATAATACTTTTTCTGAAAAAAATAAAAATAAAATAAAATTCTGGGCTGGCACCTTTACCCCCCACTTAGAATTTCTCACTACACCATTGCCTTTAGTTCAGTAAAACTAGGCAATTCAAGGAAATTATCCAAATGATAAAAAATTTTAAAACAAATGTATTATACTACCACATAACATCAGTGGACCAGAGTGTTTTCTGTTTGAGAGAAGAACTCAGCCTAAATATGTCGATTTTGTGTTTTAAACATGTGTGAATGAAACAAAAAACAACTCAGGTATGTTTTTTAAGGAAACAACATTTTAACGTGGATCAGAAAACAGCGTTATATGGACCCTTTAATTAACTTAGTCTCAAAGGTAATTCTGTGAGAAAGATGAATATTTAAAAGTGCTGTATTTCATTGAGCCCAAACAAACAATGAAATCAGGTGAAATAAGATTAGCTCACGACAGCAGCAGTGTGTAGGTAATATGCAACTCAAGTTAAAAGTGTGCAAACTCGCCTGAAGCAAAGTTCTGCATATTCACAGGCCTTTTGAATTATTGCACAAGAGTGAGCTCTGTGTGAAGCGGAATTTTCTAACCGAGGTTTAATTCAAACCAAAAGCAAACCACAAAGGTGTACATTTATAATACACTTTGAAATCAGCAGGTGCAAGGACACAAGCTGCGATTTAACAATGAGCGCTTTAGAAAACAGTCAAAACATTCATTAAGGGCTTAGCTTTCTCTCCATGCTTTTTTCTATACTCTTTTAAAATATACTGTAACGGAATGTGGCTTTAAAGGGTCTATATTAAAATTGACTCTCTTAGTCATGCTATAATGTTGTTATTGTGTGAAAAATATATCTAGAGTTGTGTTTTGTTTCATTCACACATTTGAGTAATCTCCAAAGCTCAAAATGTTCTTGTAATCTTGTAATGTTATGTAATTGTAGTTTTCAAATTCAATTAAATTCCAAGATTCATGTACAGTCGTCCCTCACTATAACAAAAAATGTGAAAAACTGTAGGCTAATGCTAGGGAACTTGTGACTGTAATTTTATGTGTGAGAGACTTGTTTAACAACACAAATCATCTCAAATTAAGTCTAACTTGAGTAACAGAGTTTCTAACAGAGCAGTGCTTTCAGTTAGCATCACACCCCAAGTGACAAACCTTTCACTAGAAAAGTGACATAGTGCACCCTTAATTATGCCAAAACTGTTATCATATTTTTTGGACTATAAGTCACACTTTTTTTCATGGTTTGCTTGGTGACAGGGAGTTTTAGGTTTGTGTGTCAGTATCTGCTGCTCCTATTACTCCTGTACCACTGTCACTTGGCTCTACTGCGCATGTCTCCTGCAGAAAGAGCCTCTGTTCTGTCTGTCTCATGTCAGTCGATCGCACCATTACTTCTGTACCACTGAAAATTTAAACTATAAACAAACTTATGAAGACGACTGAGAAGACTGAACATAAATGCCCCCAAAAAATAAAATCATATTTTGCAAATTACAAGCAGCAATTAGTGAAATGTGCAGCCAAAAAAGGTAACTGAGCAGCAGAAAGAAAGTTTGGTGTGAGCGAGAAACTTGTGACTCCGGGAGGGTGCAGCGTGCAACTTTCCTGGAAGTCATGGATGGATCGACAAAGCCTGGACTTCAGTGACACTGAAACCATCCTGTCAGGATTCAGAAAAGCCAGAATAATTCAAACTGGAACTGATGCTGAGTCTGACAACAGCTACACAGAAGAGGAAGCGGCGCTCTGTTTACCTCTGGAGGTCATGGAGTTACTCAGAAGTGACACCGAGATGAAGAATTCAATGGATTTCGTGATTTGGAGTGAGATGGAGAGTTTGTTAAACTTGTTCTGTTCTGTTGTTTATGTTATAGTTTATCTGAAGAACTGTTCATATGTGACGTTAACAGTCTGTTGTTCTCTGTTCTATTGTTTTTACTAGAACTTGCCTTTCAAGATGAAATATCGGTTCCTGGTCTCTGATTTTATAAAATAAATTTCCCCCAAAAAGTGCAACTTATAGTCCGGTGAGACTTATATATGTTTTTTCTTCTTCATTACACATTTTTGGCTGGTGCGACTTATAGTCCAATGCAAATCCCCTGACTCTCATGCTAAGGTTTAACTGGTTACATTTTATTTATGTATTATGTATCTTATAAGCTGAATAATTATAATAATAATAATTCTGAAATGTCTGGTATTTCTTGGAAAAGCTTTTTTTTTTTTTTCATTTATTTAAAACACATATGTCAGCTAAACTTCACTGTACTGCAGAAACTATTAAACCTTGCATTTAATTAATTTACATGAACCTTATGAATAGGTGACATGCTGCAAAAATAAACCAACTAATATTCAAGAATGGAAAAATGGTAGATAATTTGAAAAGCAACATTTTTATTTATTTATTTATTTTTTTCATTTTTAATCTCAAAAGTTGAATAATACTTAAATGGGGTTAATTGCTTCATTTTGCAGATGAAATACTGTCAACCTTAACAATATCACATCATTCTGAAATTCCTGAGACTTTTTAAAAGCAACTTCTATTGAATATTTTTGAACAAACAGACAATTTCCTCATACTTATTTCACATTTTTCAACAGAAGTAAATGGGCCACAAACACAAAGGCACTAATAGCATCTCAAGGACGTTTTATAATAAATAACACATCGGTCTGTTCATCTTTTCAATAATAAGATGGAATCCAAGAAAGTTCTGCAGAAATCTATGGTCCATTTGTCACAAGGTCTACAGTGTCTATAAGAAAGAAAG